GGCGGACAACCCAGACCTCCTCCTCGCCAAGGCCGACCTTCTCTACACGCAGTGCCGATATAGAGACGCCCTCGCCATTACGGAATCCATTCTGCAGGACGACAAGTACAACTTTAGCGTCCACCCTCTGCATCTGGCGTGTTTATATCAGATCAAGATGAAGAATGCGCTCTTCTTGGTTTCTCATGACCTGGCGGACAACCACCCCGAGGAGCCCTGCTCGTGGTTGGCCGTGGGCATATACTACTTTTCGATTGACAAGATTGCGGAAGCCCGTCGGTATTTCAGCAAGGCCAGCATGATGGATGCGCACTTTGGCCCTGCGTGGATCGGCTTCGCACACACCTTCGCCGCCGAGGGCGAGCACGACCAGGCCATTTCAGCCTACTCCACAGCAGCAAGGCTCTTCATGGGAACGCATTTGCCACAAGTCTTTTTGGGCATGCAGAACCACGCACTCAACAACATGACACTGGCCGAGGAGTTCCTCAAGACGGCCTACGGTCTATGCAAGACGGACTCCCTTCTATTGAACGAGATGGGCGTCGTCAAATATCACCAGGACAAGCCGCAAGAGGCTGTCCAATTTTTCCGGGCGGCACTCAAGATTGCCGCCGACATCGATTCCGACCCGCAAGCGTGGCTGGCGCCGAGGACGAACCTGGCACACGCGTACCGTCGCCTGCGGCTCTGGAAGGACGCACACATGGAGTTTGACGAGGTCCTGCGACAGGGCGGCAAGGACGCGACAATATTCTGCGCGAAAGCGCTCATCTATCTTGAAGAGGGACGCCCAGAAAAAGCCGTCGTGCCGTTGCACGAGGCGCTCGCGATTAACCCACAAGACAGCATAGCTACGGAGCTACTGAACAAGGCCCTGGAAGAGACGTCCATGATTGACGTTGCCGAGGGCGACGAGCTGGAGGCGTTTGAGCAGGAGCTCGAGATGGGCAAGGCGGCCGCCAGGGAGCGCATGTCCAACAAGCTCCCGAAGCTACGGCGGGATGCCAAAGGCAAGGCCAAGGTCGGCCGGCCGCGGGTGCTCATGGACGAGGACGAAAAAGGCGAAAGCATGATGGAGATGACTGATGATGATTAGCCCGGCGCGGCACAGTACTGTTATCTGGCGTGGGGTCAGCCGCCAGCATAGATATCGGTTAATGACAACAAACCTATGAATACCAACCCGTGAATCTCGATCAGCTCTGGTGAAGCGTTTGGTGGTGAGTTCAGCTAAGCAACGTGGCTTTGGGAGTCATGCCACTGTGGGTTAGTCTGGCGCCGTGACGAATGCGATTGACCCTATTCGTCGGCGGTGCCTCGCATTCGCTCGCTAGCGTGGGACTCCGCGGCGGGACGATACCCCGGCGTGCTGACAGAGTCGGGGGGATTGCTATCGTCCCATGCCGACCGCGTTCCGCAAAATCGGGACATGCGGCCGCATGAAGGCTGGTGGCTTGCGCGAGTTGTGATATAAGGTGCCGGCTTGCTCTCGAAGGTAGGAAGAAGACAACCATTGACCATCGGTCTCCATCTCTTGACTTCTTGCATCCCATTGCGATCCAGTGCGTGTGCCGGCAAAGTTCTCCCTGGAGTCAGTCATCAGCCTGTCAACTCCAAACCATCATCTCAAAACAAAAAGACCAAAGGCACCATGTCTCGCTACTTCCCCCACACGGCCTACGCAGAAGACCAGCCCCTCGCCGGCACGATCCTCACAGTCCACGTTCTCACGCGCGGCTACACAACCGGCACGGTAGTGGGTCTCGGCGTCGCGGCCGCGAGTGGAGTCGCCCGCCGTATCCGCGGCACAAAGCCCGTGCCAGCCACCGCCGTCGCCGCTTCCCCGTTCCCCACATCAGCAACGACACCATCAACGGCAGCATTCCGATCGTCAGGATTACACGCCTTCCTCCGCAAATCAGGCACCGCCAGCGCCATCGGTCTAGGCCTCACCGGCGTCGCCATGCTGGCGAGGATGTACGGCCGCGAGGACATTGAGTGGCGCGACCGCGCGTGGAGGCTGATGGAGAGCCGTAGTCAGCTGGAAGTGGATGACTGGACGTATGGTGGTGCGGCGGCGGGCATTGCGGCGCTTGGGGTCGCGAGGGCGGCGGGCGTGAAGGGGAGTGCGCTCGGTGTGAGGGTCGTTGCTGGTGCTGCTGGGCTGGGGAGCCTTGCGGGCACGGTTGGGTATATGGTTTGGAGGTATGGCGTGCATGGAGGCAAGTATCCCGAGTATGTCGGTCCCGAGGTTGCGTTGTCGAGGGTGTGAGATTCTAGTGGTGTGACGATTGATTGCTGTGAGGCCTGTACTTTAGATCAATACCCCAATGGAATTGCTTACCTGGACTATGCCGCAACATCTTGGCAATGTGTATCAGTGTTGCAAAGCGGCCGGCTGACTTTGTGACATGGCGGACAACTTCGATTGGTTCGCTGCTGACAAGCGTGTTTTTTTGTGCTGGTGGACTCCGCCGTGGTACAGTCTGGACGAAGCTGGTGCCTAGTTAGTGATGAGGGGTTCGGTGGCGATCCCAGTGTGTAAAAGACGGACCCCCTTAAGTAGCAGCTCGTAAGCTCCTTGACAAGTCTAAGAAGTGTCAGCGAGTGTCTTCAACCAAGTGATCGAGCTTTACCGGCTAGAGATCTCGAGCCTGTGACATGATGGCTGAAAGGTCAGGATGGCTCAAACGCCGCTGTATATCAAGACTGACGAATCCAGCTCAACCCCCTCGCAGACTGTGTCAAGTACCGCGCAGTCTAATGACATTTCAGCCTGCGAAATCTGCCACCAAATCTGGACCCGTCTCACGGCGCCTCCTAGCGGCAAATACCAGGATACTGTCAACCTAGGCTCCTTCGAAGAAGCCCTCTCCTCGAAATGCAGCAGACATGTACCCATTGTCAAGATGTTCCACGAGCTCTGCAGTAAATCAAGGCAACTCGAAAGCCTCGACTCTGCTAATGTGGGCATCAGATTCCCTCGAACAGGTGCGCTCCAGTTCACAGAAAATATCAAGACCGGCGGCCGATACGCCGACCTCTTGCTTGTAAGGAGGGACTCCATTTCGAGCCACCCGGGTATCGCTCGCATTCTAGACCCAGAATGGATCGATACCAGCGTCGTGACATCCTGGAAGCAGCAATGTGCGTCCTCCCACGGCCCCAAATGCGCCAATCCCGTCAAGATCTGGCCGATTCGTCCAGCCTGGGTGGTAGACACCGAGAAGCGATGCATCGTCCCAGGAGACGGTTGCGAATCGTACGTCACGCTGAGCTACCGCTGGGGCAAGACACCCGGATTGCACATCCTCGGCGATACAATCTCCAAGCTCCAGTCGCCTGGCGCCATTGACGACCCTGTTATCGCTTCCCAGCTCGCACCTATGGTACTTCACGCCGTGCACCTTACATCTGTCATTGGCGAGCGGTACCTCTGGGTCGACACCCTCTGCATCAACCATGACCGGGCAGAAGAGAGCACTCAGCAGCTCCAGCTTATGGCCGCCATCTTCGCAAACGCTTCACTCACCATCGTCGCACTTGATGGTGATGCCGAGGACGGCTTTCCCGGTCTGCGGGGCGTATCATGCCCCAAAACCCAAGAGGGCGAAGACGAAGATTGGAGCCCAATACCCTTTGGCGACGAGCAGTTCATCCGCGACCAGAACAACATTTTCAGCGTTAGTCACTGGGGAGCCTATCACGAGCGCGCGTGGACATACCAAGAGTTCAAGATGTCCCCACGGCGCCTCATCGTCAGTAATCGTTCTCTGCACTGGATGTGTCAGTGCAGCGTATGGGAGGAGCAGCTTCACCTTGGCGTTGAGGCTGGCAAGTATATTGATCCCCGCTTAGGCGAGATCATGCGCGGGATGCCAAACCTCGACTCCTTGGCCAACATGATTGCAGACTACAACCCGAGAGCTCTGACATACGACGAAGATGCCCTGCCCAGCATCAGCGGTCTATTAAATGTCATCAGTCGGTGCTTCTCGGGCGGCTTCCTCTATGGCATCCCGGAGATGTACTTCGAAGCGGCACTCGGTTGGACGCCGTACTGGAGCCACACCGATCTCCGACGACGGACAGTCTCTGATCGCCCCACCGCGAGCCAGCTCGGTCCATGTGGTCTTCCGTCTTGGTCGTGGGTGGGTTGGGAAGGTCTCGTTTCTCTCGGGCGCAATGAAGCCGGTTCAGCGAATCCTCGGGTTTACTCAATCAGAGAGACAATCCCCATCACCACGTGGTACGCCTGCGACACACCGACATCAGCGCAGAGAAGAAAAATCAGACCCTCCTGGTTCGAGAATCGCCAGGCGTACAAGGACTTTACTCGGCCCTTGCCTACAGGGTGGACTCGACAAGAGATTCCTGGTCCAAGACATGGCGAGGAAGGGGACATACTGCTTTACCCCGATGGGTGCGACAAGTATACCTTTAGACACAGTAGCATGTCTGACCATGACGATGAGCACCCGTGGTACTGGCCTTTCCCCGTGCCGGACATTCAGGAATCGACTCAGCCGTTCATGCCGGAACAGACGCTGTACATTAGCTGCGACACCCGCGGCGCCCGCGTGTTTGCTTTTCAGACAGACGAACAGAATGACGTCTCGCTCTATAGTGAAGAGAGAAAGATTGGGGGGTTGCGATTGCACAATAAGGGTCAACTCAAAAGCTTCCCCCAGCTGGATGCCGGCTGGGCTGCTGCGAAGGAGGTCGAGTTGGTTGCCATCTCCCGTGTGCGTAACTACAAAAAGACCTTTGATGAGACGATCAAACGCTACACGCACCCGTTCACGGCCTCAGAGGTGTATAGCGTGCTGTGGGTGGAGTGGATCGACGGGGTCGCGTACCGCCTCGCGAGTGGCCATGTTGACAAGACCGCGTGGGAGAGATTGCCTCTAGAGGATGTGTCTTTGATTCTGGGGTGAGCTGTACTCTATCTGGTATCCTATAATGCTCTAGATCCAATGTCTTCTGTACATGTCATCTTACAACTTCTCCTTACCGGCGAGCAGCTCCTCAATCTTGGCGAACTGGTAGTAAAAGTCCAGACTCTGCGGATTGAGGAGCGTGCCACTTGGCTTGATAGTCCGGCCCGAGACAATCTGCTTCACCGGAAGTTCGACCTTTTTGAGATTGACCGTTGTCTGTTTTGTTAGCGCAGTTCGTTGGCAGGGGACCGCTGGGCTTACTGGTATCTCCGGCGTCTGAAAGATGTACTTGGGCACATGTCGCTTGGTCAACTCTTTCTGAATCTTGTCCTTGACTCCCCGGACCAGCTGGCGGTCAAACTTTTCGCCCTCGCGCATCATCAGGAAGAGCATGACGCTCTCGTCGTTGTCAGTGGGACGCCTCTGCCCAACACACAGACTGTCGACGACCTTGTTTGAAAAGTTGCGCTCAATGACTGCGTAGATCTCGGCACTGCCAAAGCGAACACCGCTGGGGTTCAGCACACCGTCGGCACGGCCGAGGAAGGAGATGTTGCCCGTCTTTGGGTGGATGGAGCAGAAGTCGCCGTGTGCCCAAACGTTATCGAAGCGAGCAAAGTATGCCGAGTGGTATTTGGAGCCCGGGGCGGCAGATGCGAAGTTGGGCGAGCTCGGTAACATTTTCGGGGGTGCCGAGTCGCCCCAGAGGAAGCATGGGATATTGGGGAAGGCGGCGGTGGCGACGAGTTCACCGGGTGTTCCGTTTGGCACGGCCTCACCAGGTCCGTCGGGCAACTGGGCTTCGTAGATGGCTATTGGGACGCCAAGGGATGGGCCCTGCGTGCCGCCCACATATACGGGATCAAGGGGGTTCTCCATACCAAAGCAGCCGGCCTGCAAGTGTCAGCAAAGAAGTTTGGCATGTGTGGGTCACTTACAATGTCGGTGCCACCAGAAATGTTGGCAAGATGGACATGTTTCGGGAACCCTGCATCGTAGAACCATTCAAACAACTGGTCAGAAAGAACCATGCCTGTGCTGGTGACAATCTTGAGCGAGCTAAGATCCGTCACCTCCCGCGGACTGATCTTGTTCTTGGCGACCTCAAACATCCACCTCGGGCTGATGCCCAGTTTTGTCACGCGCTGCTCGCCGAGGATGCGGATGAATGACTTGAGGTCGGGGACGAAAGGCGAGCCATCGTACATTACGACACGGGCTCCCGATAGCAGCGCCGCAACGTTGGCGAGGTACATGATCCAGCCGGTCGTGGTGTACTGCAGAGTGACGGACTCAGGGGACATTGACTCGTGCAGGCGGCCTTCTTTGAAACTGTTGAGCATGACGCCGCCGACAGTGTGCACGATAGCCTTGGGGATACCCGTGGTGCCAGACGAGTAGTAGATGAGGAACGGTGCGTGGAAGGGAATGCGTGTGAATGACGGTGCTGCTGAGGTGGAGGAGCTAAGAAACTTGGACCACGTCTCGGTCTTGGAGATCGAGGAGACGTTGTAGGGCTTGGAGAAGCGTGGGATCGAGACAAGACCGGAGAAGGAGGGACACGAGCCCATGCCCGAGACGACCTCGGCCATCTTGTCTCGCAGGTCGGCCGTCTTGCCGTTGTACACTGTGGCGTCGTCAAAGAAGATGAACTGGCGTGTGTGAGTGCAGTTCTAGGAGGTGAGGAGTGACATACCTTGGGATCGACCTGCGTGGTCCTTTGCAGAATGCCCTTGACGCCCATATCCGTGGACGAGCTGCTAAAGATGCCACCCAACCATGTCGTCGCCGCAAACACCAGCAGCGTCTCGATAGAGTTGGCACCGACGAGAACGACGCGGTCTCCCTCCTTGACGCCCCTTGCTTTCAGAGCTGCTGCCAGACGGCCTGCGTCACGACGGAGCTCGCCCCAGGTGAGGTTGCGTACATCACCGCGGTTACCTTCACGGATCTCGGTGACGGCAACTTTGTCGTCTTCCTTACCCTCGGTGCCGTGGTGGTCAGCCGCATCGGACGAACCTCGCGTGAAGAGGAGGTTCTCGGCCCAATTGAGACGCACCCCGGGGAACCACTTGGGAATGGCGTCTATCGTGAGCGATTCGTCCACAACAGACGTTGGACGCCCTTCGTGGATCAAATTGGCGTAGTCAAAGAGATGGCCGTAAAATGTGGCGCGGTTGGCGACTGTCCAGTTGTGGAGGTCATTGAAGGTCTGAAATCGTGTAAGCGGACGGACTAACATTGGGGGGACGTTCGGGGACTACTGACCTTGAGCTGGAGGTTGAACTTGGAATTAACCGATTGTAGGTATTGGTACATTTGTGTGCTCTTGGGGTCTGGGTGCTCCCAGAGCTTGCGGGGGATCTCGTGGGTGTCCATGATGTTTGTTCCCTTTCTTGTGTTGAATTGAAGGTGTGATGTTGGGAGAAGAGCTGTCGTTCGGAGTTGGGTGGATGAGATGAGGGAGGGACGACCAGGGAAGATGGGTCTGTAGGGAGGTTGGGGTATATCGGGGAGTTTGGCGCGCTTCCCCAACGCCCAGGGTGGACTTGCCTCGGGTTGTGGACTTACGGGGAATGCGGGGTTGGCGGCCCGAGCTAACATGCCGAGAGGGGCCGATCCGGCCTGCTTGGGGGGAGCTTGACGGAATGCCGATCAACGTCCTTACATCCAGATAGCTATCACTCTTCACATTTACCTCCTCCAGAAAAATAATCTGTATTGCATAACGTCTACTCTAATTGCGTAAAATGATCCTTCCGCTTTTGGGAAGAACGTGTTGATTCAGCCTCACGCATCCTAATAGTAATATCGCTTGACCGCGAGCCTGTCACACAGCACTTCGATTTACACAAGTCTGTCTTCCCCTGTCAAGCCTCTGTTGGCACAATCCCGTCCTTACGACTTAGCTACTCCGCTAGTCCGAATTTCTCCATGACCTGACGCGTACTCAAGGAGAAGATGTCCTCTTGTTCGAAATCCTTCCTGAGCTTCCACGCCCACTCCGTAGCTTCTCGGGCATTCTCTCCCATCTGACCATTGCCATTATAGGCAGACCAAGTATCCTGAATGCACGTTCGGATTTCATCAATCGAGAGACTCGACGAAAGCTAGTCTGGATGACGCGTTATCTGTTCCCCATTCAGGTAGGAGTCGGTCATCATCGTCCATCGTGCCGTTCTCATGAACATGCTGCTGGAAAGATCCTGCTAGACTGTTGAGCGGAGCATCGTCAGCTGTGCTTCCTTGGTTCCTCGACGAACCGACGCCACCATCTCATCTTGCCTTTCTTCTGCCTGACTTCGACTCTTCAACGCAAAGTGTTCCATATCTTGCGCGGCAGTCTTCAATCTAGTCTTGTCTTGCTGACCTCGAATGTAGTCGCTGAGGATAACCACCCGACCACGCAGAGCACTTCGGGCCCACATCTTGAGAGCACGCCAATATGTCTGGTACGAACCGATGTCGCAGTAGTTGACTGAGGGGTTGAACAAGGAACAGGAAAGTTGCATTGTCGTGGTCAATGACTTGAAGATGGAGCCTCGGGTCGAGCAAATCATTGACCTTGGTCACCTGATCTTCGTTGCGGTAGGTGCGCTCTGCCATGGATGAGCTCAGTTCGTCAGGAACTCGTACTTCGAAGGGATAACCATCTTTGTCGAGGGCTTTGTGATCGTAACCGCATGCATCGAAGTACCCTTTGATGTCCTTCCTTCCTGCGAAGTGACTCTCCTCGGATGCTTCTGCTGCTTCAATCGCAGGCGAGGCTACCGGAGCGTGCTTCTGGGGGATTCTATGTGTGTTGGCCTTGTAATAGTCGGAATGGTTGGCCTTGAGGTAGTCTGAATATCCCTCGTCGAGGTCCTCGATCGGTTCAAGTGGTGGGCGAAAGTTCAGGGTCTCGAAAGGTCTCGTCCTTTCATGGTCTAATCAAATTGTCAGCCATTTGAGGCATCACACACGTCACATCCATGAGACTCACCGGACAGTCTATAGATCTCCCCCATAGTCGCGAACTTGAGGGCATTCGTGCCGATCCAAGGTCTGTCCTCCTTCTGGACATACGGGTACAGTTGGCGCACCACAGACTTCCAACCCCGGTCGATGCCGGTTCTTTGGAGTTCGGCGGTCTGACCGCCAGTGATGAGAATGAGGACCTTACTGGTCGGATCTCCGTTTTCATCTTGTAGATCCACGTCGCCCAAGGACGGTATCCAGTCTTCCGCGCGTGTGAGTCTTTGAGCTGCGCCGCCTGATGCTGCATCAGGCACGGGGTTGCCGGAGGCCAGTTCCATAACTAAGGTTGTTGAGGCATGGTGTTTGTCTGTGTGTGCTATGAACGAGAGCGAGTGGAAGAGCGACTAGAGGCGGGCAAACCGAGGTGACTTGTGGGCTTCTTATTGCCAGGTCTTTTTTTTCTAAGCCCTCCTTGACGAATACCGGACTCGATACATCACGTGAATCCGTATATTCAGCACCATAACTAAGCTTCATCGTCTTGCTACCTGGGGGTCTTTGGCCTTGGATGTCTCGCCCATCTCACTGATATCCGACTGCAGCTGCCTGTTCCTTTCGAAGATTTGATCCAAAGCTTCCTCGATGGACTTGGATGTCTCGCCAAAGCGGTCGATCGCTAGTCGCAGCAGCATCTGTTCGCTCGTAGGCGGCCTGATGACCTCGTTGAATGAAATCACAGTGTTCGGAACATCACCAATGATGCGGGAAAATGAATTGGTGCTGTCAAAGTTTACGATGGATGCCTTGAGGTCTTTGTTAATCTCATGTATCTTCCTCACCACTCTACCCTTGTCCTCCGACTCGGCTTCCACACTCTTCGCGACTTCGAGGGTCGAATTCACTAGACTGGGAAGCTGAGGAATATCCATCTTGCTGAAGATAAAAGGCTTTGCCTCGAGCTGGCTCACAAATTGGTCGAGCGCGCCAATCTCGTCGTCGTCCATGGTGATAACTTGGTGAAATCGAATATTCTTCTCTGCATCGGCTTCCAATGAACTTCAAGTGGATCTCGGATGCGAAAAGGCCTAGAGACTCGGGAAAACAAATGGAAAAATACGAATAAGGAAGACAGATGGGATTAGGTATGTATTTCGGGAAGGTGAAACAACTATAGACGTGATGTTCCGCAGCGGCCGCACATCCTGAATGGGATCGGGAGCTTCCAATTCTTGAATCGAGGGAATCAAGACCTCCTGCGTTCCAAGACCAATATCCACCTCCGGCTCTTGCCCTTGAATACCCATATCCACCTCATCCCGGACGTCATCGTAATCACGCCCCTGAGGCTAGTACTGGGCACCCTGAAGATCTTGAAGCTCTTGTTGTGCCTCTCGTAATTAGTAACGAAGAATTTGCTCCCGCTCCTGATGCGCGACCTTGAGCTGTTGGTCAACCCGTTCTTGTTCCCGTTTCGCGGCCTCCAGCTGTTCCTCTAGCTGTGCCTCCAGCTGTCGTACTCTTGCCCTGAGGGCCACGTTCTCTTGTTGAGACTGATCTTGACCCGTGACTTGCGCAGGACGGGATTCTTCCCATTGCTCGCCCTTGTTGAACTGAGCCTCGATTCTGCGATATCCCAGCCACGCGCGCCTCATGTACTCTGCGAAGTCTCTCGACGACGGGGGGTCAAACTCGGAGCGAAGTCGCTTTTCAAACATCTTGGTGGCCGTGAAATCGAGCGGAAGGAAGGCCGGAAATCCAAAGTTGTCGGTCGCGTCGAGCGCTTCTATGACGGCTTTGATGTCGATCAGGCCCACAGGGTACACCTTCTTTGATCGATCGTGAATGGCCGTTTTTGGCTGAATTTCCACCACGGACTCGAGACTGAGGAGGAACTCGGAGAAGATTGGGATTGGGTGGCCACATCTCTTCAACCGGCTCCTGACCTCTTCGTGGACCTCTGAGATTGGCTTGTCCTTCAGCTCTCCAATGACCTCTTGGAAGGTGGTGAAGAATGGGGTATTGACTGGCTTCTTGAACAGCCAGGGGCGAGTGTCCTCAGTCCGCAGAATGACCGCGTATTGTAGCGCAGTCGTAAAGAGCTTGACGTCTCGCTCCCAGAGCGGATGCATCGCGACATTGACCAATCTGTTCGTGAACATGGCTGTCCAGTGGGGTCCGACGTCTCTGGCCACCGTGTCCCATTCCAGCCGGTACTTTGGCGAGATAATCTCGAGAGGGGACATTTTTAACATGCGCACAATGAGCTTGAAGCCTCTCAACATGCTTCCATCCTTGCCCTGGCCTCTCAAGGGGTCGCTGTAACGTGGATCGCTGAGCCATGCTTGCTGCAAGGCTGCCTCCTCCTCTCTGGTCCAGCCGTCGTTGAATGCCGAGTCTGGGAGGGTCTCGGGGAGAATGGCTTCCAGGTTCTCCTTTGTGAGCACGGGGACCGCGTTGTCGAAATTCTCCCTGATTGCCGTTTTGGATATACCCTGGATGCGCTCCTCGAATTGCGACCAAGTGTCGTCTTCTTTCTCGCTGGCGCGGCAGGGGACTATGGATGCTGTTGTTCTTGCTTCTGCCAGTTCTGCCGCAGTGGGCGCTTTCTTCTTCCCCTTGCCTTTGGGTGGCATCTTGGGCTCCTCTGATAAGATGCGCGAATGTGAAGATGAGGTTGAGTGGAAGTTGGAGTAAGGTTGGAGGGCGGTGTGGATAGAAGAAGGGCTTGTGAGTGGAATCGGCATTCGAGAAAGTGAGGCAGAATCCGCTGAGCCACCCAGGAAAATATAGGAAGTTGGGGCAGACTGGGCAGGCTGCGCCACGTTACTTCAACATTTCAGGAGAGCGGTGTCGAATTCTATCTACGTGCGTTGGGTTGTCGGCCTCTGAGGCCTCATGCCGTCATTGCGGCACCTTTTCTTCAGCATTCTGTTTTCTATCGCCTACTGGTCACAGAAATTTCCTTCACGTCACAGATTATAAGGGGCAAGAGGCCAATATTCTCCTACAATCTGTGCATGCAGGCTCGAAATCCTCAACAAGTCCAGGCAGCCAGTGGTGAGATAGCACACCCGCTCACGTGACGTGACGATTTATCTTTCTTCAAGTAGGCAGCCCAAGAGACGCTCGCGATCCCGGGCAGGCATCCTATTTTTTGAGAGGAGGGGGGCGGTGAAGAGACTCACGTTGTAGATCGAGTGAGGACACCCCTGGCCTGTCTTAACGGCCTTCAGCCTTAGACTTTGTTTTATCGCGTCAGGGCCATGGCCAGATCTATCGATCTAGCATAAGGAACCGCTCCATAGGTGATCAACATTAGCTAGCTCTCAAGACGAGATATTTCAGCCTTCTGATGATACAGTAATTTCTCCTTCAAGAGCCTCGCTGGATGCTATACAGAAGGGCAACAGGTAACCAGAACGATATCGGACGAGGTCACGCTCATGCATCCGTATCTTTCAGGTCATTTGCAGTGTTGTAAGCAGCGCCGGGAGCCCTCGACCCCAATGTTATGTCGTTGTCGAGTCGGTAAACCCCTTCCACTGATTGGCCCAGCTCCCGGGAAGGATAGGGTCGACTTTCATGAGACCCGGGGCGAGGCCGACTCTGTGCATTTCGTTCCACCTGCCGACCCGTTCACACCACACATTGCAAATGATCCTCTCTTTCCATTCGAATTCGGCAAGAAACCACCGTAGTATGCCATCGCGATGGCCTGCCCATACGACAGCTGGGCCGACGAATTTGGCAGAACCAGAACATCGTCATATGGTATTTCTTGGACCTGCGTTAGTGCAGCCCCATTTAAGGCAGGTACCGAAAGAGGCAATCTCTGCAAGCACGGAGCGCATCCGACTGGACAAACACTTCCGGCACCGCACGGACTCCTACGGCTAGGTCCAGGCGCTACCTCGGTAAGGTACCTTAGGTAATGGAATGCAAAGTTGACTACATTGGATCATTGCCTGTCATCACTGAATGCATCATGGCGCAAAACGAGACGTTAGCACTGGCAACCGTAGGGTCTCGATGTAAGGCACGATTGACGCTAACTCGACTTTCCAGAAGTAAAGAGTCTCTTACAAAGACCGGACCTTGACAACGTGGCAAATGTGTGCCAGCACCACAATCGTAATCCTGTTCTGGAAGATGAACAGGCAGCTTGGTGCGGATCGCTAACATACTAGGTGCGTAACGGCTATCACTCGGTGAGGTGGATCTGTTCATTGAGTGGGAAAGAGCGAGGTATCCAACCAAACCTACCTAGGTAATCAACTATTTTCTCTTCCCGTCGCTAAGGTCACCTTCCATCCTTGACCACCCAACACCTTTTATCCACCATCAGATGCGCCAAACCCGACGATGGCACCCGAAAAAGGCTGCAAGGATCGCGCAGGCTCTAAGAGGAGCGCACCTGTTGACATATCCTCTGGAGAAAGCGAAGAGGAGGAAGACGAGGTTTCTCAACGTCGGAGACGGCCCCAGACGACCAAATACACCAAGGCCGGCAAAACAAAGTCCACCAAGAGTCGCAGAGGTCAGACATCTACAGATGTTAGCAGCAGCGACGACGATGAAGACATCAGCAGTAGCGATGACGCTCCGCCGCGGAAGAAGTCCAAGACTACCGCGACCAAAACAACCAAAACAACAGGCAAAGGCAAGGGCTCGGGCAAGGCGAGGGCGGTCGAGGACAGAGTTTCCATGTTCAAAACTACCGACCTGCAGTGGGTAGACGATGAAAGGAAATTCCATCAGGAAGTTCACAGTCGAACGCATCAAGAAATCTTCGGAGCTCTCGACAGAGATGTTCCGCCGATCACCTTGGAGGAAATGGATCAGATTCTCCCAGAGGAGCCTGATTATGACGAAGACTGGTCCGCCGAAGATGAGAAGAAGCTTTTACAGGATTGGGAGCAGGACCGCGGTCAGCAGCTGCTACTCGACCAGGACGCTTCAGCTTTCCCGGCGTTTGTGAAGGTCGCATTCAGATACTTTCGCAGGTCACCGATGGAATTCATTTCGGTCATCTACCACCTCGAATGGGACCAAAGCCGGGGCAAGAGCAATGAAAGGAAACACCGGTGGACTGCCGTCTTCTGTAAGAGGTTGTCTGAGTTGGCAACTCATCCACTCTTTGACAAGAACTACAAGCTTCTGGTTCTTGCGCTGCAGTATGCAAGCATGATGCTCAAGAACGATCGCAGGACTTGGCCGATCTCGCTCCCCAGCAGGGATCCCTTCTTCGTGGTACTCGGCCAGGTTATCAAGAAGTACAAGGGCATAGACAGAGATCCAGCAAAGATACACAAGGAGGTGCGGAAACGACTCAAGGACGGGGGATATACAATCCCGCTGTTTTCTGAGTTCATGTTGAGGCTTGAGGAACTCCGAACCCCTACTTCGGGTAGCACCATCTCCAACAGTGTTGTCCCCTTGGTGTACATGGTGGGAAACGATGAGGCTAACCTCCTCGTGCAGGCTACGAACATGGTTTCTACAACAGGGATGCCAGTGTTTCGTGACACTCCCATGTACAAGTCATACACAATCACCCGCGACACACGCGAGCGCGAGAATCCTCCAAAGAGGTCGGAGCAAATACCGTACTTGAAACGATCGCTCATTGCCGTTTGGCGACACCGAGAAAAGGCCAAGAGGAGGGCGCAGCGACTGGGCACAGACAGTGACCAGGAACATGAAGAGTCGGATTCGGATCTCGCGGTCGGCATCTTGCGAGAAAGAATCAAAGAAGCCGAGGCGAAGTGTACCCGAATCGCACAGGAGAAGGATTCCATGGCCGCAAAGATCGACGCAGCCGAGACGAGAAGTACTCGTGATGGCATGCGAATCGCAGAACTCGAAGCAGAGATTCAGAGGCTGAATGACAACAGTTCCGCAAGGGGCTCGACTGTACACAGTCGGTCTTTTGGCGATGATGGATTTGGGGATGGTTTCGACTTTTCCGACGCTGGATTAGGAGGTGACAATACGGGCCACAGCTCTAAAGACGAGACTCCTGGCAATCCAACAAGTCATGTTGGAAGGTCTTCAGATGATCCAGGCCCTCAGCCAGCTGTTGATTTCCTTTCGGGTCGCTACTAGAGGGCTTCAGAGTTGAAAATCACACCTTCGTCACGCAGGCTTTCATGAAGAGGCCTGTCTAGGTAGAAGCTCGGATGTTTTTCAATTAACCACTCTCTATGTCTCTGCAACCCAGTTCTCGAATTGTGATAGGAACACCCGTAACTCCTCGAAATGGCTCCCGTCTTAGCTTTTAGCATTGATTGTTTCACCAGGGATACCTACTGCATTCGAAGCCTCCCGTAAGACGGGCCAATCAGAAGTCACATCAACATCAATGTTCACACCAAGGTCACTGTTCGAGAACATGCTGCAATTCCTACCAACCCTAATTCTAATTCCTTCTTCAGCATCGTGTGACCTTTCAAGTCTCTGAGCTTGGGCCGTCAGTGTCTCTGGGGCGCTCCGTGTCCACAGTCCTCAATGAGCCGCGATGCAGCTCACTTACTATCGCAGCTAGTCTCTTTGATTTCTTGGCAACAGCCTATGTAGCCCCCTTTGGTTGCGCTGGCGTAGTAGAAATGGTAGCTCCGGCTTAGTAGGACGTACTAGTCTCCTCAGTCTCCTGTTTAACGGGACCTGGAGCTGTAGTATCTCGAGGCGTGGACAAGTCCGGACTGAATGTCTCGTGACGAAGGCGTGGATCCCTTTCGTTCTCTCCGAGGACCAGTGCCGACTGATGCTCTGTTTGATCGAGGCCGTTTGGCTGTGGACGCGATTGTTCTTGCCTGTCAGGTGACTCGGGTGTCGACCTGATCTCTTCCAGCGCACGTCGACGAGGTCTCTTGGTGTTCAAGGGGGTAGCCGTCGCGTCATGTCCCGGGGTTCGCTTATTCATTCGTTGGGAAGGCTGAGTTGACTGACCACCGGCGACGTCGTTGCCACTCTCTAAAGACGGACGAATCGACTCCTCAGACGCTGTTTGCGTATGATCGAGACTGGTTGTCTTTCTCTGTTCCGCTTCCGACTTCACTTTTCTCATGGCGGCCTGCATCAGCGCAAAGCCTTTTTGCCAGGTCTCGGAGAGTGTTCCCGGTTGTTTGAAGTCCCTTGTGTGGGCAGCTCGAGTTTCTTTGGTAGCAAGCCACTCCTTGTCGCATGCGAGATAGTATAAGTAGTAGGTATGGCCCGCGGCGCCAATCTCCCATGAGAGGTCATTAAAGACAAACCCTTCAATGTCTGGAACAACATTGAAGCCCTGTTCGTCAAACAGCCGAATGCAATCAGCGTCGCCAGGGACAGCAGTTCTGAGTCTCACTGCAGCTGCCAGGTTGTATCGGCGATTCGATTTTCCTTCAATCTCCAGGCCGTAAGGAAGCTCCATGACAAACGTCGAGAGCGACTCCAGTGTCTCAGTATCGCTATCGGACGGTGTGAAGCGGACCCTGATGTACATGGGGTAGCGCGCTATGATTCGGCGCAGAGTTGTCGTGGGCGTTACAAAGTTTTTCACACCGCAACGGGCTCTGATGGCACTGGGAATGTCTATGCCCGTCCCTTGGTTCTCGGCATTGTTGATTACAATGACGTCGAACCTAGCCCTGTTGTCTTTCTCCCACTCTTCCTCCATCCAAGCAGTCTTGCCATCGCTCGTCACGGTTCTCAACAGTGCGAAACGGCGGCGCGACCAAAGAGTCGAACTCATTAGGCTGCTGTCTTCTAGGTCTGCAAATACAGTCACACCTCCAGCGCCAAGCTTCTTGAGTTGCAACTGCAGCTGTCTGTGTGACTCTGCGGTTTGCAATGGCGCCACCTTCCAAGCGTCCTTGAGCACGGGGTTGGCCTTTTCTTCCGCTCGGCGGTCTGGGTTGGAAGCCTTCCACTCTGCTGGAGCGCCAAGCTGAATATTGAACTGTCGAGTGAGCATCATGAGACAGTTGATGCCAGAGTCGTCTGGACCAATCTCCTTGGGCCAACGGTGGCGGAGGTTGCGCTGTCCAGAGAATGGGGTGTCGTCTTCATACATGATCTTTCGCAGATCCTTTTCGTCTTCGGACGTGGACATGATGGGCGACTCAGTAACCTGCCCAGTGACGATGTCGTGAGGTATGGGATTTTTATGTATGCCGCGAAATAGAGAAGGGGATCCTCTGAAGATTGGGTCGTTGAGAGGGTAGTGGTAGGAGAAAAGAAGTCGGGTGAAGCTGAATGCGAGGTAAGGGCCAGAGGACCTTGGGGACGGTGGAAGGTGAAAGAGGCAGGCAATTGTGACACCAAGGCTGCTAGGCTTGCAAGCAGCTACTTTGGGCAGGTACCCACAAATCATTGACCGCCATCGTAGGTATTCTCAGTCTGCATGTACGCCCTGGAACAATTCCCTACAGCCATCCATGGGAGGGCAGAATATCGTCTTTGCCCACTGCCGGACAACTCGGTGCTTCCTTCTGGACCACGAAAGGTCTACTATCAAGGAGCGAACCAGGAAGGAGCGATGTAGGACGGGTCGATATAGAAAGGAGCGATACGGGGAGGGTCGCTATGAGAAGGGCATGCTTTGTTCTCCGTCCTCATGCTTTCAACCTACCTAACTCTTCCACTTGAGTTGTTGCAGCAACATACCTACTTTAGGAAGGGTCGCTGCGAGAAAGACCAAACCCACGACACCCACTGACGACTAGGCTGCTACCAACGCACCAGTGCCATGAACTACTCAATCGACAGGATTTCCATACGCCGACATGTCGTCGCTGCGGTCAGAAGCGCTGGGGGGCTTTGGGGGTCGCGTTTTCTTCCATCAGCTCTGCATTCTCCCGGGCCAGCTCCGCCACTATCTGTGACAGCTTTCACTAACCGACCTGTATTTCCGGGCCAAGAGTTCTCTCCCTGGTGCTCTCCACCATCTTGAGTCGAGTTTCCATCCATCTTGAGACGCTTGGTGGTGACGGATGTAGTGGGAAAGAATTGATGCAAGCAGAAGTTGCGTGAAGGAGTTGTGCGGAAAGGCAAAGTCGGCAGGAAGGGAGGCAGGAGCAGGAGCTGTGTGGTTCTTCCCGTATTGAGGATTCACCACGGTCTTGGGAAGGCGAGGTGTCGTAGGCCACCTTCCCTCGGCCAATGCGACTGCTTCACCAGCTGCATAAAACAGCCACAACTGTTGTCCACGTATTCAACATCCCATTTTGAACCTCACTTCGTCAACGTCCAGTCGAGACCTTATCCCCCAGCCCCACTACGACAAGGAAAGTTTCCATCCAAACTTATCAATAATCTCCTGCCAGTCTTGATCCGTAGACGTTGCACCACCGCCGTCAAAATCCCTTGTCTGCCAGATTGTCCAGACGACCCTCTTCACCGTCGAGATGTTGCTGATGGGCCATTTGCTGTCCAGCATGTTAAACAGATCAAGAACAGCCTTGCGGTGTTCGTCACTGGAACTGACACACCCGGCGATGAACAGCGGCCACATGGGGAATGATCGCCTCGGCTGGTCCTCGACAATCACCTCGCCAAGACGATCCAACAGCGTCTGCAACAGCTGCGGAATCGCCCGAGACCGTACGGTAGCGCCGTACACCGTCAGCTGGAGGTATATCAGAGCAGCGGACCGGAAGCACTCGGCGCTCTTGACGAGGTAGTCGTCGTGCGTGCTCTCGGCAGAAAAGTCCAACTCCCGAATGCGTCTCTCGAGACGTGATCCCTCTTCCGAGTACCCGCCATCCTTTTGAGCACCTGCTGAGACCATGCTAATCAACTGAACCAGCTCCATCGAACAGCCGATCTGGGGGTCAATGGTCTGGAACGTCCCTTGGCCTGGCAGAAGCCGTTCGAGGCGTTGGATGGCCTCGTCACAGTCGTCGGTCTGTCCATCGGAACGCGATGCTGTGCATCCGGTCGTCTTCATCAAGATGTATCGAAATCGAAAATACTGCAGAACGAGCGCGGCGCACTCGGGCGTGATCCAGTCGCCGTGGGCATCCATAATGGCTAGTGCACCCCGCAGATGCCTCAACCACGACGGGCGAGACCCCTCGGCTATCTCCAGGGAGGCCTGCAGCACACACGTCAGGAGGTTCTCCTCCGCCTCGAGAGCGGTGTCGAGCTTCGACTGCAGCTGTGTCAAGGCGTTGATCTTGTACCGGATAGCTGCCCCGGCATAGTCTACCCCGTCTTGCGGGGTCCTCCGAACCATTTCGGCCGCGCTTAGTGCCAGGACGGTAGAAAAGAGAGGGCCGCTGCTGCTGAGGAGGATGGGCATGACGCACGTCCGGAAGAGGTTCCTCTCGCTAGGGACATACACCCTGCTGTTGCTAATGACCTCAAAGTCTGTCTTGTCAGAGCGGCTGTCTGGCGTAGACCTCGACTACTTACAGTACTGAACCATCATGCTTTCTCGTCCGCCGGCGAGCGTGCTCGACTTTGGCAGCCAGCTCAGAGCCGGCATGAGCTGCTCTTGAGACGATGGAAACAACCTGGGACCATCCGCGTACTGCTGACAAACGAGAGCCAACTCATCGCTTCGAAGGTTCACAAAGGAATCGCTCGCCGGCGACTCCAACGGCGCAATGAAGTGGCCAGATGCCACGGAGAGGAGAAACTTGGACGGCGAAGACTGGCTCGACTTGACGTACACACACGCGACGCCGTGCCTGCGACAGCTGGCGCACTTTGGCTTCCCTTCATCGCACCTCCGCTTTCGCCGCCGACAGTCCAGACATCCGGTTCGGCTCCGGGTCCCGTTGCCGGCCATGTTTCTTGATAGGTGGGTCTACGACGTGGTCATGGCCTGGTGGGAGAGCCATGAGATCATGCTCGGACGACTGACTTGATGAAAGATGCAGGTTCCAACAAAAGTGTCCTCCGACTTGACGCCGAAGACGCCGGTCCGCATTATCGGGGGAGATAAGGGGCTCCGTGTTGAGGTGCGGGGATGGTCACCGAGATTAGATAAGCAGACCGACGATGGTGCAGGGATGTGAGCTCGACTTCCCGAGGCCATTGACTCTCGACGACGACAGTAGACGTCAGGTCTGTGGGTCAGGACAGAGTCTGGGGAACACATCAGAGCAACTGCCATCCCAACCGCCTTGCGGCGAGTTTAGGACTCCGGGCCCGCTCGGCTGGGGGTGCCTTGACTCGCTGGGTCGTATCCGTCGTATCCTCCAACTAACATGCTTTCCGAATCCGAGGCGACGGACTTTCGGATGAGGGGCTGCAGTTTCTGGGAGAGCAACACCATGCCTTTACATCCCACGAGAAAACATGTCTCTAGAGAATTCCGAAGATGACCTCGCTCCTGAGCCTGACGTGCCGGTGCGTGGCCAGAGATTACATCTGAGACTGCAGAACATGACTGACACCCGTGTAGAGCGACACGGATTCGACGATTGGGAGTGTACGCAAGGTTTCATGCCTGTTGAGCCCTCTACTCACGGTATAATAGGATGATTTCTCTGCTACGACGAGCCTCCGAAGCTCCATCGTAGACTACCGCGTCGAGAATGGCAGAACATATCATCGTTACAAAGAAGGCAGTGAGTCGCGAACCCATGACCTCCGGGATCCCCGCCCTAAACAGCCCTTAGAATACTTTGGGCCGAACGACGAGCTGGAAACCGATCGGCTAGACCTGCAACACCACCTGTTCCTTCTCACATTCGACAACAGGCTGGGATTCGCGCCTCCGAATGATCCCGAGTGGAACGGCGGCCGCGTGCTCGACGTTGGGACTGGCACCGGCATCTGGTGCATCGACTTTGGCGACGAGCATCCCAATGCTGACGTCCTCGGCTTCGATCTGTCGGCCACGCAGCCAGAGTTGTGCGTTGCGAAGTCCGTTCTGGCGACATAGCTAACAGCGACTCTCAGCGTCCCGCCCAACGTTCAGTTCGAAGTAGACGACCTCGACAACGAGTGGATCTACTCGAGGCACTTTGACTACATCCACATCCGCGGCATGTCAGGAAGCGTGCGCAATTGGCCCGAACTCCTCAGAAAGTGCTACGAGTATGCCTAATCTCGTCAACCCGCCAGCTAAACGCATTGATGCTGTGCTAACATCAGCGCAGTAACCTCAACCCCGGCGGCTACATCGAGCTCCAAGAAGTAGAAGAGACAATCATCCGCGCAGATAGCTCGACATCCACGAGCGATGCCTTTTCCAGGTCCCTCGCCTACGTCTCCTCGGCCCTAAAAGTCTTTGGGTGCCCCTTTGTCCCCCTCGACGACCTCGCGACCCTCGTCTCCACCACGGGCTTCAGCGACGTCCAAGACCGCCGCTTCATCTGGCCCCTCAACAGCTGGCCGCGCGATCCGCACCTCAAGGAGCTCGGGTCCTGGACGCGCGAGAACCTCGCCTCCAACACGGCCGGCATGATTATGGCGCCCATGACGCGGGTGCACGGGTGGACGGAGGAGGAGGTGCACGTCTTTGCCGCCGAGGTGCGGAGGGACCTCGCTGATCGTGGGAATCACGCGTACTGGCCACTGTGAGTTGACTGACCGCTGATGGAGTTGGGGATGGTGGCAGCAAGACTGACGTATTGTAGTCGCGCTATTTGGGCCCGAAAGCCCGAGACGTCCGAATGACCCCCATCAGCCGGTGCATCCGTTATTTCGGACATTGTCACACCGAGTCGACCCCCACGAACACCGCAGTCACATGCAAATACCACTTCTTTCAACTCATGTTCTCATTCAAGCCATCATTACACCACTACATAGTTGAACAAATACCAGGCGCCGCATGAGGGTATCCAAGCAAACCCCCCTACTCCAATGAGCCCCTCCGAAGCCCGAGGAAAACCATCCGGCCGAAAACGCCGTTTCATTAACACACACACGAAACCATGAGCCTCCCTTTTTGTTTTGCTCTATCCCGACTCCATGTAGTGCAAAGTATGCTTCCAACCAGAAAAATCCCATCGTGAATCTGCAAAGATGCTCCCAAAGGAGTCTATATGCGAATGTAAAATGCAAGAGCGCAAAACGTGAGGTCATGCGCGTTAGGCGAGGGTGGCAATTTCAGCTGCACCGTCGCCGTCCTTCGTAGTCGTGTCCACACCGGCCGCCGCCCAGTTCATGGCGTCGTTCATGCCATCTTCCCCAAATACGTTGGCCATGAACCCGTCATCCGTGTTGTTGACGCCCTCTGGCGGGAACTGGAGCCATTGATCGACGTCAAACTCTGTGCCCGTCATGGCGTTCCAGTCAATCTCCTCTTGGGTCTGCAGGAACTCGAGGTCGAGCGGGCCGGGCTCCTCGGTGCTGCCGAAGCTGCCATTGGCGCTGGGCGTCATGGCCTCAAGCGAAGACTCGTGATCCTTCTCGGTAGGCGGCGGGCTCTGCGCCGACAAGTCAAGCGCTGCGGCGTTGATGGTCTGCGGCAGAAACTCGCGCTGGGGGTTTGGCTTGTTGGCGAAGAGGGCCTCGCCGGTCGTCATGTAGGGGATGTTATCGGGCGGGGGCGTCTGCGCGCCAAAAGTCGGCTCGGCGAGCTTGAGATTCTGCTGCGTCATGGGCGCGGTGGTCTGCTGGAGGTTAATGTCAATGGCGGCCTTGCGGAGGGCCGCATCGAGGAACCCGGTGGCGTAGTCGGCGGCGGCGTAGATCTCGCGCAGCTTCTCCATGACGCGCATGCACTGGCGGAAGCCACGAGTGGCGCGGTCCCTGGACTGCGAGACGGGGTTCTTCATTTCCAGAAGATGAATAATCATGGCCGGCAGGATGACGGTGACGCCGGTGGTGGGGAGACACCTCTCGAGGCGGAGCTGGTGGAGCTCGGCCGCCATCCGGGTGACGTGCATCGCGGCGTCGCGGACCCGGAGCCGGGACATCTCCTGCACCTGCCGGGACGTCGTCGGTGCGTGGACCGGAGACGACGGCAGGAACTGCGGGCGATGCAAGGCCGAGATGGTGGTGTAGTACACCATGTGCAGCAGAGTGCGCTGGACCGCGACGGTCGACCGCCCGTTCTTGACATCGAGGGGCGTCAGGGGCCGGTACTGGCAGATGGCGGGCAAGGTGTCGGCCCAGGCCATGAGCTCCAGGTCCACCGAAGTCACACTCTCGACGTTGTCGAGCTTCTTATTCGGAAACAGCATCATGGTGCTGTTGACGGTGTTCTCCGGGCGCATCTTATCGCGGATGAGGACGGAGTACTGGGCCTTGAGCATGTGGCTGATGCAGATGCACAACTGCGCTTTGGAGATGCACAGCGCGGCCAACTCCCGCTGCATCGAGACGTCGCGGAGCAGCATACACTCGGCGGGAATGATCTTGTTCTCCTCGGGCAGGATCTCCAGCTCAAAGTCGTTCTCCTGCAGCATCGGCACGTCAAAGTCCTCATCCTTGATGCGGGTGGGCCTGCGCATGCCCAGGGCGATGAGGCGGTCGCGCATGAAACAGGACCACCAGATGCGCTTCCACAGCTTCTGTTTGCGAACCGGCATGCTCGTCGCGGCTGGGTCGCGGTGCAGGCCAATGGTGTGGGCCAGCGAAATGGCAACGCCCATCCAGTGCCATGTGTCCTTTTGGTCGTCGGGGGTCTCGTACCAGTACGTCATCAGAAGCAAAGCCTGGACGAGGACGAGGCGATCCGACTCGTAGTCAAAGTCGTAAAGCAGCTGCAGACGAACGTTTAGCATGTGAAAGGGTTGAGCGTGGGGGTGACCCCTGTCGCTAGCGCGGCGTCAAAGAAAGTTCAGGGACGGGCCACTTACCCTCGTCTTCTGGAAGAAAGCCTTCCTGGCGGCTTTCCGCGTCGGGTATCCCGCCTCGCGAAGGACCTTCATGTCGACAAAGGCGGTGGCGGAAAACATGACGGCCTGATACAAGAACAGGCTGATCTGACCGCATAGCCCATCCTGGGCGTTGATGATGGCCAGAAAGTCGTACAGCTCGAGCAGCGGCATGTATGGATGAACGTATTCGACGTAGGACTGGAGCAGAGCGTTCTGCAACGGCAGCGCAGGCAGAGTCAGGGCGCCCTTTGCGTGCAGATAGGTGACATCCTCCTGGGCGATCTTGGCGGGTAGCGGTTTCACAAAGGCCGGGAGCTGGCCGTGGAGGTCGGGCTCCTCGAGGGAGGCGAGGAATTGACTCGTTCGCCCGTCGCCAGCACCGCCGGCGCCGCCTGCACCGCCCATGCCGCCAAAGAGAGAGGCCTGGGCGAGCAGGTTGGACAACAGGCGACGAGAGTTGCCATCTGCTGACGCTGCGGCCGCAGCAGACTGCAGCTTGGTGAGCAGCGCTGCGCTGTCATGACGGTAGCCCGATCGTTGATCTAAGATTCACAAGGTCCCGTGGTCAGCGAGTCGTCCCAAAACATTGACCGCTTTGGTCTGGGGTGCGTTGGATGATGATAATGACTGGAGACGAAGGCTGGCATGTGAATGTGGATTACGTGTGTGAGGCTAAGGGACGTGGGAGGGACGGAGCTGGGGCCGCGGACGGAGTGCGGAACGGAGGGGGGGGTATGCTGAAGAATCAGGAGAGACTTGACTGGACGAGGAAAGGCGGAGAAAGGCCCCAGGTCACGGGGTAGGAAAAGTCCAAGACCGCCCCTCCACACTTTACCCCGTTCCGTCCCCTCCCCCAGTCTGAGCCCCCCGGACTGGGCAGCGATGGGCAAAACCAGGAACAAAAAAGAAGACACAACAAACAGGGGGCGCAATTTGGATGTGCGGTGCGGAATTGACAAAGATCCCACGCTAAGAAAAATTGTGCTCCAGAAAAACAAGTGTCCCAAGAAACGAGCGTTGCAGGGCCAAAAAAAAAATTGTGCGACAGAAACGAAGGCAAAACTTACAGATCATGTGCGGAACGTGACCCTCGATTCCGTCTGAGGAGCCGCCGGGTACCGACAGGCCCCCGAGAACACCAGGGCCAATTCCAACGCCGATTCCGTTTCCTCCTGCAGATCCTGATCCAGCAGCAGCAGCAGCAACGCCGGCACCAAGGCCAGACGTCGCATTCAGGGGCACGCCGGAGGATGCGGGAACGGGGTTCGCGGCGATGGAGCCGTTGACCGAGGCCACCGAGGCATTGCTGGGTCGGCGCAGTTCCGCGCTGCTGTGAATGTTGATTGGGTTTGCGCCCTTGGAGCGCAACTGTGCCTCGGCTCCCACACCATGGTGCCCCGCCGTGCTGGCAGTCAACAAGTTCTTCCTACAAACGCGCCAAGAAGTCAGCGGGGGTCAACTTTGCGGGATTGGGGATTTCCCCATGGGCGTCATGTCGTGCATCCCCAATTGTCCGCCTGCATCGTGCCGAGGCACCGGCGAGTTGCAAGATACCGGACTTCGGTCTCTCATAGACGAAGAAACGGAGACGGTGGAACTCACTTTCGTCGGCGGCTCTCCTGGACAACGCACTCGACATTGTCCCATCGGCAGTTGCCGCAGGGCGCGCCTTCAACCACGTCGCAGCGGACCTTGCGCGCGCGACAGCTCACACAGGCGCGGGCGGCTCTGCGTTTCGTAATCTTGGTCGGGGGCGCTCCGTCCTTCAGGTCGGCGTCTGATGAAGAGCGCTTCTTGCTCTGCTCCTGATCCGAGGAGGTGTCGTTGGCGTCGTCGTTTTTCGGGTCCTCGGCAGCCTCGGCTGCCTCGGCGGGCTCTTCCGTGGTCGCCATGGTCAGCGCCGATAGATCGGTGGCCGGCTCGGGGGCGGGCGTTGCCTCGGGGGCGGTGGTAGTAGTGGTGGTGGTTTCGGTCGCCATTGTCGCGGCACTCAAGCAGTCTCCCCTATTTAGAGACTGCTCGCTGAATATGCCAAAGGATAAAGTAGACGAGAAGGTGTCGTCAGTCTCGGGAAATGGCCAAGATTATAGATCAAGAATCGTCTGTGATGGTCCGGACCAGAGAACTCAATACGTATGGAAGCGACTTGCGGATGTAAGGGGCTCGCATATACGGGCGGCGGATGAGCTTTGCGTAGACGTCGTCAAAGCTGGGGCGGTAGATGCTCGTCTTGAGGCGGGACACAAACGTAAACAAGAGAACAAGGCGGAACGAGGCTGCGTTGAGATGAGCATTGAATGTTTCCAAGCCTGATACTAAATGTTGCTGCTGCTATGAGTGCGGACGACCCTTTGGTTAGAGACCTTGTGTGTGGTGTGTCTGGGGCGTGTGTCCCGTGATTTGATGGTCGATGCTGTGTTGGGCAAGGTCTGGAATTGGAGATGCAAAGGACGAGGCAACATCAAGCTCGAATTGTTTAGAAAAGCCGGAGCTACGGGCAAATGCTCGAGGTGGGAAAAGGGCAGCAAAGGAGAAGCGGGAATGTGGGGTCCAAGGGTGCAAAGGGGATGGGCGAGGTATTATATTATTCCAATGGGATCAATCTTTTTGCAACAGACAGGCTGGACAGAGAGAGAAACTGGGAACGGACTCTCTTTCTTTCGTCTGGAATTCCCACGAGGTATCCTTTACTGTGTGTACCCCCCCCCTTTGCCCTCCTTACCATACACCCCGGTCGGCGGCCCCCTCCTCTTTTTGGCTCCTTTCACTCTCCGATCCATTGACGAGACTAGGCCGGGCGAAGAAACGAGGGAGGCGGAACACCCCTGCTCCTCCCCAGCTGCCCAGCTGCACCATTCTACACCTGGCAAGGTCAGGAAAAAGGCAGAGGGTAATAATTAAAGCAGGACCACTTCGACCACAGCACGACGTGGATCTCTGCGTACCCCGAATTATGGGGAAACGAAGCTAGCATTAGCAAGAACAAGTGCAAAGCAGTAAAATATGGAGAAGTGGACAAGAGTTAGTCAGGCTTGAGACAAGGATGCTGGATGAGACGGAGCGCCAGACTTTGAAGTTTCCTGCGGTGCTGCAGTACCTTCCTTACAAAGTATGTACCACAGTAGAGACAGAGTACGTATCGGGGAGATAGTACGTACTCCACACGAAATACCTCACCTTCCCTCACCTCAAGGTCTCCAGTCCTCACGTCTTCACGATGCCACGCCACGAAGCACTTTCCCACCGAGATTGTTGTCTGCTTGCATTCCCTCCCATTCCACGCCATGACCTCGACGCCCTCGAGCTGTCAAATCTGTCTTGTCCGATGACCCGTGACCTGCATCGAGCGCAGTGACACAGAGACCACGGGACGTTGTTGCGTTTTTCAGGCCTGCCGTTGGACCTTGACCGGGATTGGCCAAGAGAGGGAAGCGTGGAACCAAGCCGCACTGCGCAATCGCTGCGCAATGTCAGGGCGCTCTTACATAGTTCTGCATCTGAATGTTCCATTGGTGACGGCCACTGACTGCTTACCTCACGGTGCCACGGCCTGCAGAGTCGAGACTACAGACTGACAGACGCCATGGGATTCTTCATCCAGCGCCTCCCCGTCCGCCACGGCGAAGCTCGCGTGTGCTTCTCCTGGTGGTGGTGGTGGTGGTGGTGGTGTCCCATCCCATATATCCTTTGTGCCACCTTCCATCCATCCGGTCGAGCCAACCATTGCGCCGAACCTGGCAAAACGAAATCTCACAACCTCCAACTCTATCACTTCCTGACCTCATCTTTGACACCAGTCCAGCGCATCAGCAGACAACCTACAACCAAACAGCCGCCGCGCCCGCTGGCTTGCTTCGGCATCATTGCATGTGAAGCCAACTGCAGATGTCGTAATCGCAACTCCCACCATCCCTGCCTCCTTCCAGCCAAGCTTGCATCTTTGGGGTTGGCCGTTTGGGACGCAGTACACTACGGAGCAACTGCGAATCTCTGGGGGCTCGGGAGGGGGTTGAACATGAGGGGCGCCGCGGCTTCCATAGTGGGGTGCCTGCCTTTCTCACTGGGCAGGTTATCACAGATCGTCGAGGCAAGTCATCTCGAGCACAGAGTCAATGGACCCAAGGACCCAAGCTCTACTGCGCCCGTCAACCATCAAGCCCCATCGTGACAACACCCGCCGGCCTGCATTCATTCGAGATTGCTGTCGACTTGCAGTTTGCGGTCTCGTACATGAGGCAATGCCTGATTTTCCCGCCCGTATGCAACTGGCGCCGCACCCCGGCCGATCCTGCCCCAATCCCCTCTACCCTAAGCTACGTACTCTGTAGGAAACCCTCTCTTTCCCGTTAATCCACCCGCACTTGCTCGAAACAAATGACAGTTGTTGCGTCCTTCCTTCCTGGGCCCAGACACGATGGGCAGACACGATGGGAAGGCGGCCTCTTTGTTCGTTACCACTTGCCTCCAGAGTCCAAAGTCCAGCGTCTCCAGTGCTCCTACCATTTCGTGTTATCAATGGACCCATGCCTGCCATATCTGCTGCGTAGTGTGATGTGTCTCAGCAGCTGCAACACGTCGACCTTACCGCATCGACGCTAGCTCCTTGCCATGCCGCCATACTACAGATACGTACCTCCATGCCACAGCCTAGAACTTGACCAACTCCAGAAAGCTCACCCGGCCCCAAAAAACAACAAACAGACCAGCAGACCGATCTTCTTCACCGCAAAACACCGACCTTGTTGTCGCTAGAGACTCGCTAGCCTTCTATACTCCGTACTAGGTAGGGAGTCCACAGTCCACAGTCCACCTCCCGCGGCCCCGTATCCGACTGACCTTCTCCGCCAGATCCATTTCTCCCCAATCCCGTATGTGTCAAGACGAGGCCCGGACGACAGCAGGAAATAGGCAAAGCCTTGGCTTGAGGAGGCTTGGGTTCTTGGAAACCTTGGTACTCCAGTCTCCAGTCTCAGTCCCAGTCCCAGTCGCGACGGAGTAGTGTAGAGTTCCTGGAATCCAAGGGCTTAGGGAGGACGAATCGTCATTCAGGGATCATGACCTCTTCCTCCACGGCCTCCACCTGAACGCAGCAACCCAGGCCCTTGACCCCATCTCTCATCACTCACACCTTGTGGAGAACGGCCAGCCGCCAATCACCAACCTGCAGCCGTGCCGTTGGCTGCCCCAGGGCTGGAAGAAGTACGAAGTACTCCTTGGAGTCCTTGGAGCGCCGCCCTCGGTAGCCCGTAGGTACCTCGTCCTCCCGGGTCACTATTTACCAGAGTCCAACATCACTAACCAGCGCCAGCCTCGCGAGTCAGGTCCAATCGAGTCAGCTCCGGTGTGGGCTCCCAGGATCACGCCCAGACACAGGCACCACCACAGGCAGTCCACCTCCGCTCACCGCAGCATCCAACCACAGACGCCTACATAATCCTTAGCCTATCGTAACCCTCATTCCCCCAGTGGCCCCCTCCAACTTTAAAGCATCACGAGCCGCTCTGCAATTTTTCACACCTCATCTCAAACTGCACCCGTGCCATTGGGTCAATTGCGCCTACCCTTAGTCACCACTCGTCACTCGTCGCTCACCACCAACGGACCGTGGCCGATGCGGCATTCTGGGCAGGTGTCCCAAGGCAGTCAAGCGCTTCCAGCCTCAAGCGATGGGCGGCGTGTCTGGCGTTTTTGTGACTGTCTGAGGACACCACTCCAGCCTCATGGTTCTGTCATAATTCTGCACAACCGCAGCATCATGAATCACCCGTCGCTGTCAGTACGCAGTAAATTGCGAGCAGAAGGTGGCCCGCAAAAGGCAGCCAGGAGAAGCCGTACAAGTCGGCTTCTTCACCAAGTCGGCTTCTCAAAGGCCACCCCCTTCGCTCTCGCTTGCCCCAATCCATCAGGGTTTCGTCGTCTCGTTGGATCGACACACGACACACGCCCTTTAGTCCGAAAGAACAAGATGCACAGTTCCCGATTCAATCGCTCCCGTAATCAAAATCGATGCCCTTGCACCGGCGGGCGCCCAATCACGTCCCATTCCACACCTGGAAATATCTCCATTCGCCCAGCTGGATTCGGCAACAGTCGGGACTGGTAGTGGATTACCCCTGTTGCCAGTACTTCCTACACACAGAGGTCGTCCACTCTTGACACACAACAGACGCGATCACGATCCGTTTCCACGTCCCAAACACTGCGAGCAATGAACGGTTTGGATGAATGGGAAATACTGGTGGAATATTCACCCAAGTGCAGACTGTGCAGCCCTGAACCCCGGTGGGCGCAATGTTTCGGTCAACGTTCCACCCCTGCGTCCTGTCCGTCCAAAACCTTCTCCCGGCCGAAGGTCCCTGGCGCCGACTCGACGGCACCGCGTCCATGCATGCCGACGTCTGTACGTACTGTACAACCGTGCAATTCCCGTCCCTACATCCCGGCCATCCATCTCAAAAAAAGCCTGTCCTGACTCCGTCCAAACCTTGACGGCAAGTAAAAATGGCCAGCAGATGTGACGCATCAAGATTAAGCCAAAAAGCCGACGAGTCCAATGGGCGTTTTGCAGAAGATCTGCAGCGCCGTCTCGTCTCGTTCAATTGCTGTGTCTGGTACAGCCATCTTGTCCACCGTCGCAGGTCCTAATATCCATTGTCCGCTAGACCCAGGAGCCCCAGTAAATCCACCTGACGAAACACGCACTCCCTTTGCTCCGATACCACTTGCCGGGCGTGCGTGCCTCTTGGTACGGAGTATGACGAATGCCGTATCCAATGGTTCAGACCGCCTCCGTACCAGCCGGCCAGACCATCCTGGAAGTCGACCCAAAATTAGGGGCGCTTCTGAGCCTCACTCATCGCACTTGTATCGGAACCGCATGGCTAGTTGGTCATCCATGACTTTACGATAATGCAACGGCAAACAACGGCCGCGAGAGTTCCGCCAGATACCGTGCCTCCCATCGACACGGCACGCAGCCGGATCGGCAGCCTTGCCACGGAGCATTCGCAGGCACTGCCATCGCGACGACAAGACAATCGGCGCAAAATCTAGCATCCGTTGACAAGTCCCGGGGCAAGCCGCACGGGACACGAGGAGCAAGACAGCTCCCCCACACATGTGGAGGGAAACCGTGGGAAAGCATAGCCGTCCAATCAACGACGACGCCGGTAACGTGCCCCATCTAGCTGCGAAATCTCCACCCGGCCGGCGAAGGGTGGGGTCGCCGACCTGCTCCGATCCTGATGTCCGAATTCACCCTTGCTTGCAGCCCTCCCAAGCTCCTCCACCAAGCCGTTAGCTCACCCACACCATCGCTTGTCAAATCTCCAGCGACTTTCTCTTTCCGTCCTGACGTGTGCTCCACAACTCACCGGCATGGACCACGGCTCCTCTTTTTGTAAATCAAGGCAAATCAGGGGAAAGAAGCACGGCAGAGGAAAGAGGGGCAAGACGGGGCTGGATGACAAGTCAGATACTGCGTAGATAACGAGTGTGATTCCGTTCGGAACACTGATGGGCAGGCCAGGAGAGAGGTCTCCGCTTGCTGCTTACAATGCCACAATGCCTGCATCACGAATGGTTGGGGCCGCACTTTTGAATGCGGGCGGATCAAGAATACAGCGGACAGTCAGAGTGGACACACGACGCGAACGCGCGCAAGGCAAGGCACGGCAACAAAACGGGGTTAGCCCGCGCGGACGGTATCCGTACGGAAACCTGCCTGGGTTGGTGGCCTCTTTTTTTTACTCTTCTGACTGCGCTTCCGCTTCCGCTGCCGCTTGCCGCTCTGCGTTGCCTTTTCCCATGGGGAAACGCGGGACCTCCAAGGCTCAACTCCACGATCTGCTGAAGCTTGGCTTTCCGTCGTCTGATACACTAGTCTTGACTCCCACTCGGACTTGTGTATTAGTGATCCATTTTTCTGCGCATTCAGCGTCCGTCGTCCATTGTTCCGCCGCTTGAGTGATTGATTGATTAAACTGGCGGCGGCATGAAACACATTCCGCCTTGCTCACCATTGTCCACTTTGCGCACTTCCTACACCAGGTGGGCCAGTCAACAACATAGTTGTTTGTACAATGCATTGCCGACTATTGTGATATCTCTGCCGTGATACCTACAGGCTACACGTGCTACGCCTTTCCCATGCCAGAACCCCATGCGCAATCTAGTCAAATGCTTCACCTAACACGTAATACCCCTCCATCTCTGCGTATCATCCACACTACACTATAGTGACTGCTGCTGCTGCTGCAGCACATTCACTTGCCCTCCTTACCAACATTCCCAACAGCCGGCGCCGCCTCGTTAGCCTTGTCCAACCTCGCGAGCGACTTGGCGTCCAGCCCGGCGTACCACCGCCTAAGCAGAGCCGCATACCCCGTCTCCCCCTCAGAGAGCTCCACAGGCGGACCCCGAATCTGCGGCAAATCATCACCGCCGTCCGCGTCACCACTGCTCCCACCGTCCCCGCCTCCATGGGCCTGCCCCGCGTGCCGTCTCGTCTCAAAAACAGCCCAGCTAGACCCATCATTCGCCCTCAACCCGAACCCGCTCCGCGTAAGCACCATGACACTAAAGTTCCGTAACAACACCGCGTCGCCCTGGTGAATCACGGGAAGCGCGGCCTTGTGCGGCCGGAAAATCTGCACGGCGACCGTCTGCGCGGGCGCGATGGAGTGGTCGGTCACGTTAAACGCCAGCATGATGCCGCGGGGCCCGCCCTTTGCGCGCTTGGCTTCGGGCGGGTTCGTGGTGGCGACGGCGAGCACGTCGACCGTGCGGCCCGGGTGGCTTCGGAGGACTTTAAGGGAGATGCAGTCCGGCACGTCGGCGCGGAGGGATTTGGTGAGTTGGGCTTTGAGGGCTGCGGAGGACTGTTCTGTTGGTTGTGGTGGTGCTGATGTCGTTGATGATGCTGCGCCAACCTCTTTCGAGGTCTCCTTGGCCTTTGGTTCTTTACCCTTGGCGTCTTTGGAAACACTCTCCTTGGCCCCCTTGGTGACACTCTCCTTGGCGGCCTTGGGTGCTCGCGATGGTGACTTGATCGCGGCCCTAGCGGGCTGCACCCCCGTATTCTCCTCCGCGTCCGCATCAGGCGAATCGCTCTTGAGCGCCAGGCTCGCCGACCTACCTCGGCTCGTCGTCGTAGCTGCCACTGCCGCTGCCGCTGCCGTTGCCGTCGTCCCTCGAACGGGAGCGGCAGCGGCGCTGCTGTGAATATCAGGCGTCGTGCGATCTGATAGGCGCGTCGACCGTCGAGAAGCAACCGACGCACGGGCCAGCTTGACGCTGGGATCCTGATCCTTGCTGTTGGTTCCGCGGTGCTGCTGGCCGCGACCACCTCGCTTCGGAGTTGGCTGCTGCTGCGCGGCGGAAACGACTTCCTCCGATGGGTCCTCGGCGATAAGAGACGATTGCGCTTCCGACGGTTGCGCCGACGAGTCTCGGATTTGTGATGACTCTTCGTTGATAGGTGAGGTCGCATCTGCATCAGCTTCGTGGTGAGTGAACGCTTCCTTCTCCCTCTCCACCTCCTCCTCATCGTCCAGCAGCGGTTCGTGGGGTTGGACTGGGGCCGCTGCGGGGGACTGAGCGGGGCGTTTCTCGTCGAGATGCTCCGCTGATTGCTCCGTCTGTGGTTCAACATCGTCTGGTACAGTCACCTCGGTGGCCTGTGTCTCGACGAACGACTGTGAGAAGGATTCGACGGTTTGTGTGGCGCGCGGTGTCAACTGTTCGTCAACTTGTGAGGTTTCTGTTTCGCCCATCTTCTCCTCAAACGATTGGGGAGTCGGCGTCGGCGATGCCATCTGTGTAGACTTGGCGTCCTCCAGCTCGTCCACGTCCATTGCGTCGTCCTCGACCTGTGCCTGTTGCGCGTGCTCCGTCGTCTCCAGGGGCTCTGTGATGGTCGTCTCAACAGTCACCCGTGACGTTTCAATAACTTCAGTCTCGGGGTGAGCGTCGTCGGCGGCATCGTCTCCTTGAGAGACTGGCCGCTCCTCGACCACCTGCGTCGTGGTGATGGAAGTCGTAACCGTCTGGTCTTCTTCGTACATCATCGACTCCTCGTACAGCTGGCTCTGGATGAGCTGGTCCTGGGTCAAGTCGTCGAGTTCCATATCCGAGTCTCTCGCGTTGCTGCTGACTTCGTCGTCGACCGACATGTCGTCCGGATCGCCCATGTCAACGTCCGCTGGCTCGACAGAGCCCTCGTCGTCAGATTCCATGTGCACCTCGACTGTAGCTTCTTCGACGTCCTGGACTGTGGTCTCATCAGGAATCAGTGAGACTTCCATGTCTTCATCGTCAGATGGAGGCTGCATCTCTTCCACTTCCATTCTGGTGATCTCTGTTTCTTTGATCTCGATACGGTCCGGCGTGTCCTCCTTAGGTGGGGTGTGTACTGTTGCTTCGACAGAGACTGTCTCTTCCACTGCTTCAGAAACTTCGGCCACAGTGACCTCGGTGGGTTCCGGTGATTGCTCTTCGGCAATGACTTTGTCGCCAGGGTCGACTTGTTCCATTTCTTCCGTTTGCCCGGGCGCTTCGACATTGCTGGCTTCTAATTCTGGTGTCTGTCGGTTGACATCCTCGGCAGGAACTTCGGGCTGGGCAATTTCATCCTCTGCTTGGGCGGCTTCGGTCTCGACTGTGTCTGCATCCTCTACTCTTGCCTGGAGAGTTTCTGTAGCGAGAGCTTCTGATTGATCCGGCTCCGGCTGATCCTCATCTTCCTCTGTGACCAGTTCTTCAGGCTCAACAGCCTCCTTCTCTTCTGGCGCAACTTGGACGTCGGCAGCCTCTGTCTCTGGCTCCGGTGACTCCTCAATAGCTGGAACAGGCCGAGCGGGGCTAGATTCTCCAGCCAGAGCCTCAACGGCAGCTTCCTCAGTAGCCGAGACAGGTCGAACCGGGCTAGAGTCCTCTCCAATTGCCAGGACAGGCCGAACGGGGCTGGATTCTTCAGCCACAGGGAACTTGACGGCAGCTTCCTTCTTAGTAGCGGCGACGGGCCGAACGGGGCTGGATTCAGCCACGGGAGACTCAACGGCGAGTTCCTCCTCGACAGCCGGGACAGGCCGAACCGGGCTGGATTCCCCAGCCATCGACTTAACAGCCGGACCCTTCGCAACGGGTCGGACCGGACTAGATTCCTCAGCCAGAGCCTTAACAGCTGAGACAGGTCGAACCGGGCTGGATTCCTCAGCCACAGGAGACTCCACAGTGAGCGTATCCTCTCCCAGCACCTCAGAATCCTCGACATCGGTCCTCACTGGGCTGGACACGGCCCGCTTCAGCGTTACATCGCCAGCAGGATCCTCGTTGAAAGGACTGGATGCCGCCTGCTTCGGCGTTGCATGACCAACGTCCTCATTAAACGGACTCGACGGCAGAGGCCCCGCGTCTTCAACGGCTTCTCCCGCCTTACCCTGAGATGGAGCCGGTGTCTGACGGTCACTCCCGGCATCATCCGCCGCAATCTCCTCCTCCAACTCCTTTCCGAGCTCCGCCTCGAGATCATCTGACTCGCCTCGCGAGGTAGGCCGGGACGAACTATTCGGAACACCCGCCATGTGCGGCAGCTTCACCGGGCTCATCGTCTCAAAGTCGTCGCCAATCGTCCCTGTTGTCAGCTCCGGGGCGGAAAACACTGCCGCCTGACGGGGCTTCGGCGTGGGTGTGCCGACTTGCGACGCCTCCTCCTCCTCTTCACTCTCCGCATCAGACGGCTGAGGCGACGAGCCTTGCTGACTGACCTCGTTCCTGACGCTTCCTTCTTGGCTTTCTTGATCGTCCATGTCCTCGTCTTCCATCTCATCGGCAGAGCCATCGTACTGCGGTATCCGTCGCTGAGGAGCCGCGGCGGGCGGTGGCGGCGGGGCTTCATCCTCATCCTCGGAATCCGAGAGCAAATCGATGACTACCGGTGGTCCTCCTCGCGGTGCAGCAGGCGGCGGTTGATTCTCCTGGTCCTCGTCTTCGTCATAGTCCCCCTCATCGTAGCCCTCCTCATCGTAGTCTTCGGATTCTTCGCCCTCCTCGTCATCTTCGGGGTCCAGTATTTCGTCCTCTTCTTCTTGTCCGTAGTCTGACTCTAGGTCTGTTCCCGCGTCGTCATCCTGATTATTGCTAAGATTGCGGAAGTGTGTAATGTCGTAATCCCCGCCGGTATCGTCGGCCTCGTGCTCGGCTTCCTCATCGCTCTCTTCGCTGCTCTCGCTGCTGCTACCACTGCCCACGGAACTGCTCTCCTTTTCTATGCTTGCGGCTTCTTCACCTCGCTCAAGGCGTCTCTCGGCGTACGTTCTCGATGGAAAGTTCTCCTCGGGGCCGTCTTGGTCTTCCGACATTTGGTCCTCCTCTACTCTGAGTGCCTCTTCTTCGTCCTCAGGGTCGTCTCGCACATCGCGCTCGCGGTCTTCTTCCCATGTCTCGCCATCGGCGTCCTGAGGGCTAGACGCCCGATTCTCGTGCAATTCACCAGACTCTGCAGGCTTCGCGGGCGATCTCGAGTAGTGCGCCGACGTGAGACCCCATGGTATTTGCTGAGGCTCGGCGACCCCGTCAACCATGACTGTGTGGTGGGGCTGTGCCTCAAGATCGTGTTGCTGCGGGTGGTCCTGGTACGCGGGTATCGGCTCCGATAGTGGCTGTGACGTGACGACGCCCCCTGGACCAAAGTGCGGCTCATCGAGGAACGTCGCGGGGTAGTGGCCGTGCATAGGCGAGTGATCAAGCCCTGCCTCTGGGTACGCGCTAGGGTGTTCGTGGAATGACCCTTCGGCGCCGTAGTGCGGCTCCATGTCGTGGCCAAAGACCGGATCGAGAGGCGGCTGCTGAAAGGCCGGCGGATACTGCTCGTGGGCGGACGTGAATATCGGCATAGGCGGTGGTGGTCCAAATCCGAGCGGAGTCAACCCAATATTGGGGCTGGGAGGCAGATCAGACTGGACCCCTGAATCGATCATTGTCGACTTCGACGGCGTCTGCCAGTACGAAGGGTCCTGCCGCGCCTCTGCCGCAACCTGGACATCTCTCGGGGGGCTCGTCTCTTGCTCCACTGTCTGGCAGGCACCGTCCACCATCGTAGGCCGTGACGGCGTGGCAATCGTCGGCTGCTCCTCAACCATGGATGTGTCTTCTTCCTCGGGTGCTTCCGGCTCGGGGCTCGGAGTTCGACTGGCGTACGTCCAAACGCTGCTGTACCTGCCCGTCTTTGGCTTCTTCTTCGCCCGGGCCTTTGCTCCGTCGTCTGCCTCATCAAAGATGTCGAGGCCTCCATCGAATAGCGATCCGTACGAAACCCTGGCGCGCTTGAGGAACGCGGGGGACGCAAACTCATCGGCGCCAAGGCTCTGGTCGGCGGGTCTCTTGCTCAGAGGTGTTTTCGCGGGTGTCGCTATCGGCACCGGGGTCTCCTCGACATCCTGGAACGACTCAAGGATGGACACCGGTACCTCTTCGGGCTCTGGTTCGGGTTGTGCGGGGTGGTCGACATCGATAATCTTGACCTCTTCGGAATCGCTAATTTTGGCCTTTTGATCTCTTCAGCAAAGACCCCTTTCCAAACCACACGCTCAACCTACCTGGAGAAGCACCCTCTCCGTAAACCTCAGCTGCCACTCCAAACTCGTACCCGGAACGCGCGTCTTGGAGTCATCCGCAACGAGCTCGACCCCGTCCAGCGACAGCGCAATCTCGTCGCCGCTCCCCAGAGCCGCATCCGCAATCGCTTTAGCGCTCGAGCCGGCAAACTCGACGCGCACCTGGCCCTTGGCGCGACGCAGGCGGAAGTCGGCCTCGGCGAGGAGAAAGGCAATGTTTTTCCTGACGATGCTGTAGGGCCACGTGATTGTCACGACACCCCGGACGACGCGCGTCTTGGGGTCCTGGAGCGCGGGGCTCAATTGCGCGATCGCGATAGCCTCGGCGGCTTCGAGCTGCTGCGGCTGCGGCTGCTGCGCTGCGGGTTGCGGGACCCCAGACATCGCGTCATGAGTTTGAGGCGGACGCGGCGGAGCTAACGGGTATGTAGTCGGAGATGTCGAGCATCAGCGGGGTGTCTTTGCCGTGTCGAGGTTGTGGTTGTGCTAAATGAATGTGGGATGGAAACGGTCGCAAAGGTCGATTCGGTAGCACCGCATGGTCGTGGTGTGGATGGAATGTGGAACAAGGGAAGCTCCTGCTTGAGCTGCACGAATTGCGCGGGAAGGCCCCACACCTTTTGTGGCAGAAAAAGGTAGGCGGTGTGCAATGACTGCCGGATGGTTCCTTATCGATAACTGGGGCTTCGGAGCCGGCTGGCCTTCCGGATCGTCCCCGAGTCACCTGACGACCTGCCATGGGTCGACCTTGTGTAAATTAAGCTTTTAGGCATTCACTCCGGACCAGAAGAGGTAGGCCATGGCAGATATGTCATTATTGCTTTCTCTCTCGTCCAAGCATCCGATTGTGTCGGCTTTGCGACGTTGATGTAGGGGAGCGGAGGGAGTCCCCGTTTTACCCGCCCGGTGTCCACCACTCTGTCCGAAAAGGAACCGATTAGGTGATTTCCCGCCGATATAACGCGTTGGCACCTCGTGGGTCCCAGATTTGCTATTTGTGGTTTAAAGACGGCCACTGTTCCCTTGCATAGCACCACTAAGGTCATCCATGTCTCATAGACCATGAGCGCAGTTCCGTTCAACGTCAAGAAGATCGCCGTCATCGGCGCGGGGCCGACGGGTCTCGCAGCCGCTCGGTACCTCACGGCGCAAGGAGCCTTTGACTCTGTCGTCGTGTTTGAGCAGCAGGCTGAGGTGGGCGGCGTCTGGAACTATAGCCCGCACCCGACCACGTCTCGCCATGTGCCGCAGACGGACCCCTTTTGCTCGCAGGATCCTGCGCTCCGGCCGGGCAAGCCCGGCGCGCCTCCCGTTTTCCCCACACCAATGTACGGCACGCTGCACGCCAATACCGTCAAGACGACAATGAACTACAATAACACGCCGTTCCCGGACGACGCCTGGGTCTTCCCCTCGCGGCAGTCCATTTACAACTATCTGGTCGAATACGCCAAGGACGTCCGCCACTTCATCAAGTTCTCGCACCAGGTCACGGCGCTCGAGCTCCGACAGGAGGACGGCCGAGACAAGTGGGACCTCGCGGCCGCGTGCACCATCACCGGCCGGACGTTCAGCGACACGTACGACGCCGTGGTCATTGCCAACGGACACTACGACATACCATTTATTCCAGACGTCAAGGGCATCAAGGCCTTTCACGAGGCGCACCCGTCGGCAATCCTGCACTCCAAGAACTACCGCGTGCCAGAACCCTTTTCGGGCAAAAAGGTTATCGTCGTCGGCAACGGGCCCTCGGGCTTGGATATAGCCCGCCAGCTCAGCCCGGTCTCGGACAGGGTGTATCTATCTGTACGACATGCGACTCCGCCGGACAAGGTTGAGCACATTGGGGTGACGGAGGTTCCAGAGATTGTGGAGTATTGGCCAGAGAAAAGGGCCGTCGTCTACAAGGACGGGACGGTGGCAGAGGGCGTCGACGCCGTCATCTACTGCACCGGCTTCTTCTTCAGCTTCCCGTTCCTGCCCGAGTTCCTCAAACCCAACCTCTTGACGACCGGCAAAGGCGTCAGGGGTCTGTACCAGCACCTGTTCCTCATCAAGCACCCCACTCTGGCCTTTGCTGGGCTGCTGGTCAAGACTGTGCCATGGCCGGTCGCGGAGAACCAGGCGGCGGCTCTCGGTGCGGTGTGGTCCAACGGGTTGAAGCTGCCGCCTGTGGAAGAGCAGGAACGGTGGGAGCTCGACTTGTTCAAGAGGCGCGGCGACAAGAACATTCACGTGCTGCTCGACGACGGAGATGACGGCCGCCACCTCAACATGTTGCACGACTGGGTGGCGGAGTCATCCCAGAGAGGCAAAGAACCGCCATACTGGCACGACGAGCAGTTTTGGGAGCGCGGTATCTACTGGCCGAGCAAGCAAGAGTTTGAGAAGCGAGGAGGGAGCGCGACGACGCTTCGGGAGCTTGGCTTCGTGTACCCCGGCATAGGGAAATGGCGGCACGTTGCGCCGAAGCTTTGATGGGCCACAAGCATAGAATCTAGAATTAGCGAATGCAAGACTTCACGATATCCAGGCAGAACAGGATGATGACTGGCTGCGATCGCGAGACAATGGCGCAACGTCCAAACGCTGTCACTCCAGTGACATGGGAGGTCCAGAGCTCCCTTGACAGTATCCGCACCGCAGTCTGGAGCTCCCTTGAGAGTCAAGCTCAAACGACCCCTCGTGTTCAATCTGAGAGCTCCAAGGATGAGGTAACCGAATGCAGGGTAGCGGGACAGGGGGAGCTGTCAGGCGAAATGGTACCGAGCGCGTTTCCGGGCCAGCGAGCGACTGTTTAATGACGACGGGTGGGACACTTTTTTTTTCGGTGGACAATCTGAGGAAATGAGCAGAACCGGACTCCGTACGCTGGAGTCAGTCGCGTCTTGGCTGTCTAGTGGCCAGCTCTCTTGCGATGGAATGAACTTTGGTGACGTGTCGCGATCTGATGGTGCGTCCGTAGGAATCGAGGTCGAGGAGGCTCCCAGGCATGCAAGTATCCCACGGTTCGACGGCTGGCGATGCGTCTTTGTCCAATCATTCCGCGTCCCCCAGCTGGATGCGTGATAGCAGGGCAAATAAGGTCACCGCAGTGGGGGGATGATGATCGCCGGAAGCGATGGAAGCAGCCGATGGGCTGGTGCCACGCTCTGACTTTGTCCGCCTGGCGTGGCTGATCAAGCTGCAAAGTCTGCGCCTTGGGTTTGCCAGCTCGCCACTAGTGATAAAGCTTGCCGACAGCTTTCAGAGCTCTCTAGCAGTCTAGGTTAACATTCGCCGTCCGTGACCACGGCCGTGGGCCATGTTACCGTGTCAAAACATGCACATCTGGCAGGGAAACTCTCTGCATCCGAGCGTCGAGTGACAGTGTCGTGCAGCCTGCCATCTCATGTCGTGGAGAGAACGTGCGAGGGGATGGAGTGGTGTCTGGAAGATGGTCAATGTGTGTTCACGTTAACCTAGCTGGGAACGCGAGAATATCGCGAATGCAGAATCAGAGCCCATCAATGACCAAAGTCTGTCAAGGACTCCCGGGCAGCATGCTGGCCCAGGCGGTGGGCTGCATCAAGTCGAGACAGGGACACCCATCGAATTCCCAGCATGACGGGCACGGAAAGACGTCAAGATGCGGCGGACGCATCACATAGCACCACTCTAGGGCATGGATGTTCTCTGCAGTCATGCAGGATGCGGATAGCACTAGGGTCTTCAGCGACGCGCAGTCCGGTGTCTTTCTAACGCGCCCCCAATGCGAACGGCGCAAAGCCCGTCTCGTAACACGTCAAGATGTGCGGTGCTAGAGACGAGTTGCCGTGGCAGTTGGAGCTTTGCTGGAGGGAAGCCTGGAGGACACGGACGATGAGATGCAGACGACGACGACGACGCGGACGATGCGGATGAACGTGGAGAGTTGTCGGTGGCCGAATCGATAGTTGTGATATTATTAGGAGCGTGTGTTGGATTGTCGAGACCAACTGGGCTGGACTGGCTGGCGAAAGCCGCGAAAGCGCGTTTGCATGACGGGGGTGCTCTGGAGGCCTATTAACCCAGAACAGCGCCCACTCCACCCCATCACCCACACGCATCGCCGCATTGGTGGACCACTTCGACGCCCAGGTTCTTTTCAGGTGGCAGGCCAGGTGAAGGGTACCTCGCCCACTGTTTGTCCCTGCCTTCGGGTACCTGACTTTCGTCCGCATTCCCACTGGACATGGTGGATGGCCCAGCACAAGGACTACAAGGTCCCTGGCCATCCCCGTATGCGGCAGCCAATATCCATCAAATCTCATTAATAAATCTCCTCTTTCTTTCGACAACGCCAGACACCTAATCTCCTTTTGCCGACTGCTCCTTTGCCTTTGCGCCTTGCCCTTCCCTTCTTCCATCCCCAGTGTCATCTGTCGTCTCGTCGCGCCAGCTTCAATTCTGTAACTTTGCGAAAAATCCTCGTTCTTTCACCCACCGACCTTCCTTTGATCCGCTTCTCTCCTTGAATCCTCACCAGCGACCTCACCTATCCGTTCTTTCTTATTCTTCAGCAACGCAGCTGCCTTTGAACCCCTGCGCTCCCTTGCATCTCCGGGAACCGCGCCGCGCCCACAACCACTGACGTCTGCCATCTGGAACATCCTGCAACCACCCGAACGAACAGAGCAATCGACGTCTTTCCAGCAACCTCCAGAGATCAGGGCCAGGAACGCGAGACACCACCGAGACACCAGTCAGCCGGATAGGGACGTCCATGATTGTCAACAAACACCACCGATGATCCACGACATGGCCATACGCATCCAAGACGTCTTTTTCCCAGGTTCATAGAAGCAAAGGTCATGCCTGCCTACTCGACAGATCAACCGCTCGTTCGACATTCGACAACAACTATTCAGCAATCAACATCATGACCGATCCTCCGCCGCCCATCACCCCGGGGCCGGGCCACCAGCTACGCCCGGCCAGGCGCCAGTACCGCCACTCCGACGAGCACTCGCCCACCCGTGCCCGAACCAACGACGACCTTTTGAGCCGCCTTACCCCCATGACCGCCGTCGAGATGCTCCAAACACCAAACACTGAACTAAAACAATGCCTCGACAACTCTACCGTCAACGAACAGGAATTCGCCATGCGCGCCGCCGTGGCCAGCCGGAAGATTTACGAATGGCTCGAGGAGCTTTCCGATTGGCCCTGGCCTTCCACCAGCGGCTCAGCCGGCTTCGAGATGCCAGATGCAAAGCAGACGAAACTTGACGAGGATGCCGACGAGTCGGTGTACCTCGGGAGCTTACCCGCCGAGAGCGTCGCCCAGTACGAGCAGCGCGTAGACGGCATCTCTCACGACATGGACGAGCTGCACATTGAAGAAATCAAGACCCACGTCATGCATACCCACATCATACCGCTTTCGAGACCCGGAACGCCGCTGTCCCCGACGCGGCCCATTGGAGGCGGGACACTTTCCTACAACCGAATGGACGACTTGACGGCTCTCCTCACAGCAATCATCGTCCAGGCGCTGCCGAACCTATCCAAGCTCTGCCGACTACTCAAAGTCTGGCACATACGCCTCTCTGTCCTCCGTCGCATACCCGATTTGCTGTCTGGCATTGCAGAGGCAGAGTATGCGCTCGAGTCCGCATGGAACGTGCTGTCATCCCCGGCGGGAACGCCATCCGCTGAAGAGGGAGCCCAAGACGGCCTCTCTCAACTCAAACACGCCGTCACTGTTGTCAAGTCGGTGCTGGAGACGCAAATCACGAAATCCGGACGCAGCCTCGATTTCATGCTCGACAGTCTCGAGGGGTTGCAGGATACACTGCCCGACGCCTGGCTCGACCGTATGGAGGCCGTTGAGCGTAATTACGCCGACTGGGTGACATCTGGTGAGCAGAGGATCCGACAAGGGGACTGGGCTTGCGTTCGTCAACAGAAAGCGCTGCCACCAGTGATCAAAGAGGAGGTCGAGGCCGAACCCACCAAAACAAGTGGCCTGCCTGTTGTAGACGATGATGTGAGGTCTGTCACTTTGCCAGTGCCCATCACCATTAACCCACCGGAAGAGGACAGCCAGCCTGCCCCTGATGATGAGGCCACTCCGGAGCAGTCTGACGGGTCCGAGGACGACACAATCGAACTGTCTCCCTCGCAATTGCAAGCGCAGAAGAAGACGCAGCCAGTCGCTGGCCTTGACGGCTCCAGCGAGGGTGCAAAGCCCAAGCGGACGCCATTGGGCGAAGTGCAAAACGAAGAAAACACCAAAAGAAAGGTGTTGGGTGCGCCCAAAGACACCAAAGAATCTGTTGTGTCGAAACTGAGAGCAGTCTTTGAAAGCAACGCCAGGTCCAGCTCTGACGACGCGGACGAGATTCTGCCCGACGACGAAGAGGTGCGGCTGCCACCGCTGATCCGACCAGACCGACGCGGAAGTGACGCTTCGGACTCGTCCACAATCATCCACGGCCACACGAGCCTGCTGGCAGATGCCTCGAGTGATATGCCCGAAGTCTCAGCATCGCCTCCCTTGCTACGCCAGAAGCGTGCCGAGACGCTGAGCCGCAAATCGGCTGCTGACCGCTTCATGAGCATGAGCCCTCCCAGCTCTCCCCCGTTCCGGCCGAGCTACAGAGAAGACAGCGTGAGCCCCATGGTGAGACCCCAAGATGAGGGTCTCCTGCCGGCTCTCCCTCTGGAGTCGTCGTTCAACGAGGACGACTTCGATCACTCCTTCATCAGCATGGAAACGCCGCGAGAGACCGGCAATAAGGAAGATGACCACCTCCGAAAGCAAATCAGCGACATTCTGGAGTCCATCCCCGCCAACATCAAGCTGGCCAGAGCGACGCCCAAGGTGGACTTGAATCCGCCACCGCCCGATCTGCCCACGATGCCCGCCAAGAGGCTTAAGAAGCCGTCGCGCGAGACCATGCGAAGGAGCGTCTCTGCTATGTCGACGACATCGCGGACATCTTCGCGGGCGACGACGCCGTGGCTGACGCTTGCTCCCGCCTACGCCAAGAACCCCAGACCCAGACGCCCTCAGAGCGGACAAGACGTCAGAGTCTATCACCTCTCGCGGTCCACTGGCGAAGCGCCCATCAAACTTCTCATCCGCTGCGTCGGTGAGCACGGCGAGCGCGTCATGGTGCGTGTTGGGGGTGGATGGGCTGACCTCGGCGAGTACCTCAAGGAGTACGCCTCGCATCACGGCCGGCGCTCGGCCGGTCCGGTGGAGACGGCCGAGATCAAGGTCCAGGACCTGCCGCGTGCGAGCAGCCGCGCCGCGAACTCGAGCCCGCCGAGTCGACCAGCCTCCGCGCTGGAAATGTCACCCATGACGCCGCTCAACGTACGAAAGTCTAGAAAATCTTTTGGCGCCGGCGACTCATCGGTGCCCCGGCTTCTCCCCAATACGCCTGCCGTCCCGCCGATCCCGGACAAGTTCACGCCGACGCCGTCCTCGGAAGACTCCAACCGATCTCGGTCGAGCTCCCACATCAGCTGGGAAGAGGACGAGAGTTCGTTCCTTGGCCTGGCAGGACCCACTGGCCGCAAGGTTGAGATGAGCGAGGAGAACCGGGCGTGGGTGGAGAGTGTCAAGGAAAAGGTGCGTGCCGCTAGCGGCGAGACGCGCAAGATTTCGGAATTTGGCGATATGGGCAAGGTCGGCGGCACGAAGCGTGTGTTTCGGAAGGGCTAGGCTGGGCTTTGAATTGGCGTTTACAGCGACTTGGGGTGCTAAGAGATATCGACACGGTGGGACGGAGGCCAAGCGAACTTGCATCGCATAGAGCATGGAGTTGGGAGCTATGTCTTTTGCGCCACGAGTCGAAAGCATACCATGACGGAAACATTTCATTACATCATATCGAGGCAGGGGGGAACGCTTCATCACAACGGCATAGCATGGCCTGGTTTTTTCCACATTTCCTTACCCGGTTGTCGTCACCCTTCATAGCAGGATTTCCTTTTGCCTGTCCCGTCATTCTTCGTACGAATACCCCCTTTTTTGCCTTGCCTTTGATGCATGTGCTCGGGCATGTGCTAGGCATAGAGAGTCAGATAGCTGAAATACCACAAACCATTTTACATTACCGAGGTGTTGCGTGAAGGTGAAGATGGACGTTGGGGTCGCATCGGATTCAAAGTTCCGTCGGCAGTCGGAGGAGGTCGGGAGAAAAGGGTGCAGCTCCGGGTATGGTCCCGCGTGGGGGCCGGGGCATGACATGAGGTAGTACCGCACACATGGGAGGAGGAGCGTCGTTCCACCCCCGGCCCAAATAGAACGTCCCCCGGACTAACGCAAGTGCGGAGGATCACGGGCATGACGGCAGATCCTCCATCCATCCACCTCACCCACCCCCTGTCCGCCTTACCACTCATCCACGCCGTGAGCCATCCGACCTAGGTTACTTCAACACTATGGAGGGCCATCCACAACTTTACCTTGCATGCACCATACTCCACGCCCGCGCCCGCTCCATCCTCCATGCCTCCGTTCCTCCCCCAGACAAAGACCGGGGCCGGGCGGCGTAATCAAGCTTCGCCGATGGAGGGTGTGTGTGGGGAGGAAACGGACTGGGGTTCTCGGTTTCTTACCATGTAGTGAGTGACCTCTCCTCAACCCCTACAGGGATAACGGCACAGCTCTCTCTCTCTCTCTCTCTCTCTCTCTCTCAACATTCAGGCCGAGGCACCGGCTCGGTGAGTTGAACCGGCCGAGGGTCCTGATCTGAGGTAAGAAACGGTGCCGCGGGGGCGGAGCTAGGGGGGGGTGTCCGTGGAGTAAATCCCGAGGCGGGACCGAATGGAGCTCTGTGTGTGTGTGGTATAGAGCGTCGATGCCTTTTGACCATCCGATGTTTTCTCTTCGACAGCGGAAAGTTTGGTTGTTCTTGTCGTTGTGGGTGATTCTGCTGGATGTATTGTCTACTTTCTTCACCCGAACACCTTTGACAATCTGAAGCTGCAGCCGCAGGGGACGGAGACGGGGGAAAGGAGGGAGGTAGACGACACCGTTGAACCTCCGTTCCTTCGCCGAGGCATAACCTTATCCAGTGGGCTCCTCGCCATCCTGTCCAGCTCCGGGGGTGGATGAGGAGGAAGGGTTTTGGGATGGGGAGGGCGTCGGATGTGACATGTCAACGCGAAACCGACGATAGGTAGCCGTCTCTCTCTATCTGACTTCCATCGAACGCGACCGCGTATGACATTGATTGGATTTCCAACCCCCAGCCCACGACACAACGACGTACTATGCAGTAGAACCAAAAGCCAACGCAACACCCCCTAAGCCACGCACGCGTTGTCTCATTGCCCAAAATCCCTAGCGTCATCCTCTAGAACCCGGGTTTACTTCGTCAATTGTCTCGTTCTGAGACTCTAGAATCGTACACGCAGACATAGGTTCAGATTGCCCATCATGCGCACGAATCGTATCTACTCTCCATCAACAGCCATGTAGAAAAAAGCACCCGAGCAAAAAACACCCGAACAAGCAGAACACAAACAAAGCATGCGCTGTCCTACCTAGTCCGGTCTAGTTCGGACTTGTGAACCCCCTTCCCCTCCCAACACCTTCCGAGCTATCTCCCCCCAACACACTTCAGACGGAGTTCACCAGTTGGAGAACGTGCTCTTTTTTTTGGGGCAGAGCTATTTTGGAGTGGCGGGTGGGGTTCGTCCTTATGCGGAGAGAGAGAAAATTTGGGGGGATCTACGCTACCCCCTTAACCCCCCTAGCAAAAGTTGGGGACGGTTGGTTCAACGTCGTCCAGGTTTTTGGGTTCAAGCTCAAGCTTCCAAGCCGAGGCACCTCCGCTCCTTGCCCTGCGAAGCTCGGCAAGCTGTCCAGAGTTCAAAGAACAATGTCCACTCCAGAGTCACAGGATCACAGTCACGTACACACAAAGTAGCATAGTAGTACAGGCATCCAAGTCTATTTCTAAATCGCGTTTCCATGTAGCCCACGTAGCTCCATCAGGAAGTATTACCGCGAAACCTGTCTCCCCCACAACATCCTCTACTCTAAACTCAAAAACTCCGACGCGAACAGGCGTCACGGAGACGATGGCCACATAGGGCGTACTCGTAGTAAAAAAAAAGCGTCGTCGTCCTTTTAGTGACGATGAAAATGTGTCTGTGTTTCCCTTCGCTCAAATCTCGGCAAGATTGGAAAGCCAAGGCCCTTGATGCCTACCCCAACGCCGAAAAAAAAACCAATTTCGCTCTCTGAGAACGTCTCAGGTATTCCCTGTCCAAGCCCTTTTGATCCGTAAATGCAAGTCAATCCATCGCACAATCTTTTAGGGGTGTGTGGTTCAAATTCGGCTCTTCTCGGAGAAGCTGACGGGGTCGTAGACGCGCTCCTTGATCCAGGCGTCCAAGGCAACGTCACCCCACTCCTCCCACTCGACCCACTGTGACTCGGGAAGCTTGGAGACGCCGGCTCTGCGGGCGGACTTCATGACCTCGCGGGCAACGATGACGCTGGCGTCACGGACACGCTCGATGCGGGGGTAGATGAGACCCTTGTGGATCTCGTCGACGTTGAGAGACGCGGCGAGAGCGGCAGCCGAGGTGTAGACCATGTCGTCGGTGACCTTGGAGGCCTTGGCGAGGATGGCACCGAGACCGAGACCGGGGAAGACGTAGACGTTGTTGCCCTGGTTGGGGTGGTAGGTGATGGCCTGGCCGTCGGGGCTCTTCATGGTGAAGGGGGAGAAGGGGGAGCCGGAGGCGAAGATGACGGTGCCATCGGTCCACTGGACGGCCTGCTCGAAAGTACACTCGGCCTTGGTGAGGGGGTTGCTGAGGGGGAAGAGGACAGGGCGGCGGCCAAGACCGCCAGAGTCGACAGAGGCCTTGAGGGCGCGGACGACGGACTCGGTGAAGACGCCAAAGGTGGCGGTGAGACCGACGAGAGCGGTGGGCTTGACGTACTCAATGACCTCCTCGAGGGTGCGGAACTGGTGGCCGTTGTTGTCGGTGCGGGCAAAGTATTTCTTGTGCTCGGCGAGCTTGTCACCGCGGTCCTTGGTGACGAGACCCTTGGTGTCGACCAGCCAGAACTTGTCCCTGGCGACCTGCTCGCTGAGACCACGCTTGGTGTAGTACTCGACGAGCTGCTTGGCGACACCAACACCGGCGGAACCGGCGCCCATGAAGACCAGGCGCTGCTCCTCGAGGGGGACGCCAGAGAGCTCGACGGCGTTGATGTAACCGGCAAGAACGACGGCACCAGTTCCCTGGATGTCGTCGTTGAAGCAGCGGTACTTGTTGCGGTAGCGGTCGAGGTAGTTGAAAGCCTTTTCGGACTCAAAGTCTTCGAATTGGACAGTCATCTCGGGGTAGACCTCGGTGACGGCCTCCATGAACTCGTCCATGAACGCCTGCTGCTCGGCGACAGACACACGCTTGGAGCGGATACCCAGGTAGAAGGGGTCCTTGAGGTTGGTCTCGTTGTTGGTGCCGGTGTCGAGGACAATGGGCAGGGTGTTTTCGGGGTGGATACCGGCGGCACCAGTGTACAGAGCAAGCTTGCCAATCTGGGGTTGTTAGTTGTCGTCAGACACGATTGGACGGGAGACCTACAGAGATACCGACACCGTTGACACCCAAGTCGCCAAGACCCAGAATGCGGGAACCGTCGGTGACGACGCAGATCTGGGGGTTGGGGTAGGGCCAGTTGCGGAGCATGGTGCGGATGGACTTTCGCTGCTTAATCGAAATGTACAGAGCCTCGGGGCGGGTGTAGAGGGTAGAGTATTGCAGGCAGACATCGCCAATGGTGGGGGTGTAGACCAAGGGCATGAGCTCGCGGACGTTATCAATGAGCAGGCGGTAGAAGAGGTCAAAGTTTTGGGCCTTGAGCGAGGACAGGTAGAGGTACTTGTCAACGTCGGTCTGGCGGGTGTTGATCATCTTCATGGCCCGCTGGCATTGCGTCTGGAGGCTCTCCATGGTGTGAGGGATGAGGCCGGTGAGGTTTCTGGTCACGCGCTCTTCGGGCGTGAAAGAGAGACCTGATTCGACCATGGCGGTTAGTTTGGAGGACGAGTGGATAGGAGCACGAGGCACAGGATTGAGCAGGCGAGGCAGTGGTGAGGGAAGACGACGAGCGCGCCCAGTGAGTGAAGAAGCCATGGGAGTGGTGCAGCAAGAAGTTGGAGATGTTGTGGGAGGGAAAAAGGAGGGAGGCTATATAGAAGGGTGCAAACTGAAGGGATACGCCATGTTGGGGGAAGCCGGTGCGTGCAGAGTGCAGTAAGGTTCAGTGCGGACGCGGACGCACGAAGGACGGTGTAAGTGGGGGGGAGACGGTAGCTGCTGCCATCAACTCACCTTTGTTCCAGAGGGGCTCGCGCAGGATTTGGAAAGCGGTGGCCTGGGTCTTGGGCACGTATTCCGTGTTGCGGTATTGCTGAACCTCGCCAAAAGTGTTCTGGGAGTAGCCACGGTGCTGGTCGAGGGAGGCCATTCTCATCTTGTCTTCAATGACGGAGATGTCGACGGAAGACATGGGGTTGAAGTCTGTCATTCTGCGACTGGACATGGACATGCGCTTGTTAGATATAGAGGAGCGGGAGGAGCGGGCAGAGGCGACGGACGATGGCGAAGGCGAAGAGGACCGGGGCGTAGAGATGTCTGAGGAGCTGGCTGAACTGAAGGGATACGACGCCATTGACATTACCGGCGCATGTGTCGGTGGGAGAGATGCGGAGAAGAAAGAGGAGGCGGGAGTGGGCGACGGAACGAGGCAATTAGTAGTTGTTGGAGCTCCGAGGCGAAGCAGACGAGCGTGATGGGTAGTGGTGCGTGTGGTGCGTGTGGTGCGTGTGGTGTAATGGGACCGGCCGGAACGTGATATTAGTCGTTGATGAGGAGGACGCAGCAAGAGACCAGCTTTCGGAGAAGGCGCAGGAAGGCAATTTAGAGTATGGTGAGAGCGTGGAGTCGCAAGAGTCGCATTGGATGGACCAACAGAGGGGAAGGGCGTTGTGTTCCCTGCAACTGGATCGCGGACGAGGAAAAGTCGGTTTAAAACCTTGTGAACTGGTCCGGTCCTCGATGGAGGCTTGCCCGGCCAGGTACAGCGACTTAGACCCATGGCCACGGAGGATCTGAGAATGATAGGGAGAAGGGGGTTTCAAGGCAGTTTCACAAAGGAGGGATGGCAGCAAGGCCAGGCGCCGGCAGAGGCGTCGAGGTACCGGGTACTTGCCTGGATGACGGACGAGCGAAGCCTGGGGACGGGGGGACGGGAGACGGGCGGACGAGGAACGAGAATTGGGAAAGTGATGGAGGGATGGGACGGCGCAGAAGATGGGATGGCGGGACAAGGGAGTGCTCTGTGACTGTGCGTTGTGGCGTGCGGACTGCGTAGCAAGTCGAGCGTGCGCTGGAGCTCCAAGCTTTGATTCGAATCCAACTGTATGATGTGCTTCCAAGGTTTCCGCCCAGGCGTATCCGTTCAGAGTAGGGAGACTGGTACCCGAACGATGAATCGGGGTCGATTGTGCAGAGGGTTCGCTGCAGGTCGTGGCAGGGTGTGCAGCGTGGAGCCGGGAGACCAGGGTGGTTGAATAACGGGGGCGACGAGGGTCCGTCGACGACCGGGGTGGTTAAGGGTTGAGACGGGGGTGTTGGTGTGGAGGGTGGGAGAAGACGGAAGCCAGACCCGATCCTAGGAATTGGCAATTTCTTTTTTTTCTTCCTTTCTTGTTGATGGTCGTTTTTTTCCGATTTCGTGCCCAATTCTGGCTGAATTCGCAGAGTTGGAGAAGGCCGATGAAAATTTTCAAGTTGGGGTCACTGGGTACCTCGTCAGGTTCTCCGTATACGGGACACAAGGACGGGGGCGTGTACAAAAGCCAATGGTCGGGGCCGAGAGGGGCGTCGGTGAGGCGACGGGAGGGCGGCAAGGTGAAGACGTGGTGACGCCGGGACGGTGTTTCCGGAGACGCAGTACAAAGTCCAAGACTCAGGAGGTGATTCGCGAATCCCACTCCTGCGTAGCAAACGGGTAATTAGTCTAGAGAACTACACAGTGGTGCTTGTGGACGGCCCGTTCTCGTCAGCTCACAATGGCGTAGACGGTGGTGATGCTATCTTGGTCTATGCATTTGGATGCCGCGATGGAGTACCGCAGTAGGCATGGAAGCTGACGAAGGGCCAGGAAAGGGGCCTGCCTACCTGGGAAACGAGCTGCAGTGGAGATGGCCTGGTGTCCGTCACTCGAAATAGTGTACACAGCGGATAAGGTGAGCTGACGGAATGCGGAAGATTTAGCTTCGCTTCGTCGACGTGGGAGGGTGTTCGTGGGCGTGGGCGTGAGCGTGAGCGTGGGAGGCGTGGGATGTTAGCCCAAGCAAGTTGCCAGCGGCGCAGCGGCAGTCTGTCCGGCGGCGAGTGGAGTCGGGCTATCCGTATAGATGTGCGTGGAGTGGTGTTTCTTTCCGAGCGATGCACATTGATCCAGTTCGGTTTCGTAAAGACCTGGCGATGTCAACTTGAGTGTTGATTCTGTTTCCCCTGGATGGCTTCAGAAAGAAAAGAAGCAATTGGAAGTTTACCTAAGATAAGGCAGGGCAAGTGCGTGGCTTCCTACGTGCCCAGGTCCTTCCTGCTATTTCTACACTTGATTCACGGAAGGCAGCTCCGACTACGGGATCGGTCCTGCCATGTTCATTGACGATGCAGAGTCATAGGGCAACTACCTAAGGTACTCCGTAGGGTACCCAGGCAGCTTTTGAAAATGGCGCGCTGAATCTCACCAAATCAAAGGAATGGAACATGCGCAGAAAAAGGACATTTCGCGGAGTCATCGTCGCTGCCAATCGGCCCTGCCCCCCGACCATGATTGTTTACGGCTTTCCTCGTGCTTGGGTCACTCCACATTCTTTTCTCTGTTTGGTTTACCACGGTTTTTTATTTTATTCTTTCTTCCCCTGACCTGGCGACCATCGTCCCTCCCCTTGCGCCCTGTCCCAATGCCCATCGACTCTTCCGCCCCAGTGAGACACGGCAACACATCTCACAATTCTCGCTCGGGAGTCCAAGGTCAGACGCCCGCAGCAAACGTCCACGGACTCTTGTGCAGACGTCTTACGTACAGTCATCATCCACGGCACCTAAACGCACCCAAGCTTCATCTAGCTGCGGCTAAGCTGTACTGCGGCCTGCCTGACTGTACCCCAAAGGCACGTCTTTTTGTTGGGATGTCTGATCCCTCCCGCCTCTCCAAAAAAAAAAAAAAAAAAAAAAAAACCTCCAACCGGTGAGAAAAGAGAGGTGCGACGTCGGCACAAACGCCAGAAATCCCCGACAAATACGGCACAATGTGTCAACCGTCGGCACTTTCAACCCCCAAAAGGTCGTCAGCCATGCAGCCCAATGTACGTTGTCTTCGCACTCGAGCCCTCGACCCTGTCAAGCCTTGCTGCACTTGCACCTGCATCCCATTCCCGCCTGCGGCCTGCCCCCCCCTCACACCCAAAGACGTCGACCCTTGAGCCAACTCCACCGGAAGAACAGGAGAACATCCACTTGGGCTTCCCTCGCGAGGTGGAACCGTCAAAGTTGGATCCCAAGGTCCATGGAACGTCCTCCTCCTTCTCCATCACCGGCCGGACATCTCGCCGACGCTAGCTGTACCTAGCAAGCAACCGTCCGGGCCTCTTCCAACCTACAATCTCGAATCCGCCCTCCGACGGTCCCCGGGACCGCTACGGCCTCTGTCCGTACTGCGAACAAACTACGAATACACTGCTCTCTCCGTGCGCACGCGACAGTCCAGCCTGGCCAATGCCTCTCACGTCGCATTCCCCATCCGTCTCGCTGACGTGCTCAGCAGACAAGGGACGAACGAAGCTTTGCAGAAAGACGCCCCCCCGATCCGTGAACGCCAACAGTTCCTTCGTTCCATGTTTCCATCTTGTCCGTCGCACTATTGCTTGGTGAAAAGCAAAAACCAGGGGCTTGGCCGGCCAACGCAATGTCCAAAGTCTAACAAATCAACAACTACTATTGAAACGAGGGAACCAAAAGCGACGGGGGATATCTCCAATCGTCAGCCAATGACGGCCATCATATTTGTTGGCCAGCCTCCTCTTCTGGCTAGTCTCTGTCACAGCGTCCCGAACCGTTGTCCTCCAGTCTGTGAACATTGACGGAGTGTGTGTTGCATTCACTGGGCCGGGCGAGCCTCCGGGCCTTCCACAAGCTCTAGCCTCTACTGCGTAGGTACTTGGATCCGGGTCGGCCGTCGGAATTCAAATCCATGCAGTCTTTAATGCGACACTGTGGTGCCTGCAGGTACTTTTCGCCCCTTGGCAAATTCCGGGTCCCCTTCTGGAATATGACTGAAGACCCAGGGCCTGAATAGACGACGCTCGCGAATTCGATTTCCCCAATGGATACGAAATGACGGAGGGCAGTCGGCGGGATATCGGGTTAAAGATTCATCAGGCGATATCCCGCCCTATCAAATGCTCAAGCACGTCAGAATCAAGCCTCCCGCGGGAGGCACTGCGATATCCCGCGGTCTGAACTCGTGTTCAACGCCCGATACGGCGCCGTTTGCTGCCCATCATCTTCCCACCATCCCGTGAGCGAGGTGGACCGGTGCCCCCAAATCTCCAACTCATCAAGAGAAGCAAAGCGAACAACAGACGTCGACATCTGCATACCGAGCATGACTCTCCCTGAGTCCCTACAAGCCTCAGACACGACGACCTCCCGATTTTGCCCGACCCCTCCACAGGGGTTCCGCTTAGCGGCAAGCCACAACAAGGCGAACCCACACCGCACGCTGACGGCAGACCCACCAGTACCGAATGCCAGGCCTGGCTCCAAAACTTTTCACCCCCTGGTCGTGGCTCCCTCCCACTCGAGGACTCGAGAGTCCAAGGCTCGTCGCTGAGACTCGAGAGAACTCCCCCTTCTCCTGGACGTTCATCACACTCGATGAGGATCTTCTGCGGATTGAAACAAGGACTTCCACGCGTCCAGTCTAGTCTCTCCTCTCGACGCCCGTTCCCCACCCGTCTCAAACACGACTCTGCTTGCAAATCACAGTTTCGGCCGTTTTGAAGCACGCACAACAAGTCATGCCCGAGGGTTGCTCCCACCGTCCACTGGGCAAGACAGGGTCTGTTGTTGATGGTACTTGAGATCGAAACTTCAGACGAAACCACGTTAAATGGACGTCAGGTTGCAATGCCTGCCGCTGGTCGACCAAGTTCACGGTACTTGCGATTGCGCATGGCGTTCGTCTCGGCGCCATGTCAGCTTCGGTTTCTGCATCGCGAGCTAGGCGATGGCCGGGGCGTTCTGGAGGTCCGTCCGGGCTTCGATGTTGAAGTGGGCGATTTCAAAGTTTGAAGTCGGGACTTTTTCGTCCTCCACGCACTTTGACTTTGGCGACTTGGTGAACTCTAGACAACACCGGATTTGGACCGCCGTTCATTGTCAACAGCAACATCTCTCGATCCCCGAGACACCGTAGCAGTGTACGGAGTTGCAACAGCAGCTTATCTT